GAGGCATGAGCTTCTGCAGCCCTAGCACCCCAAATCTCACCGATGACAGGTGGGGGCTGTTTCCCACCTTTCTTCACTCATTCTGGACTCTCCTGTCCATCCAAACACAGGAACAGTTCCTCTACAACCTGATTTTGAAATACCCCTTCAGCAACTGTCACAGCCCTGCTTTGCCATTGTGAGGGCTAGGAAACTGGTGAGAAGCAAAACATTTTCCGGACTCTGCTGCATGACTACCTATGGCCAAGGAGTCTATGCAGAAAGGAAGAAAAACAGTTACAAAGATTATTTTGTCATGTGAAAAGACCTCTCAGAACAGCTGGATACTTATTATACTGTAGTTAGAAATTATAAAAAAAAAAAATTAAAGAATCAAGATTTACAGAGAGAAGAAAGGCTAAGAAATTACAATAATAAACCAATAAAGTGCTTAAATTTTCATCCAGCTGCAACATTATGTGGAGCGTGCAGCAACAGTCCCTTCTGCTGTATGCTTGAATAGAAGAAAACATGAATTGGACAGAAGGAATCATTTGTTTTTTATTGTTGAAGGACATTTTCATGACCTTATGAGCTACGAACTTTTTTGTATGAATGCTGCCAAGTCTGTTGCAAAAAACAAGAATTATTTGGAACGCTAGAAAAGAGCCACTAGAGACAAGCGGCTTGCTAGACTGATCTAAATGGTTAAAAAGGATTTAGTGAAAACCTTTACCAGGCAGCAGAAATGTTACAAATATTCCATTTTATTTTCATATACTGTAAGACAGCTACTGCCAATGCATTTGCAGAAATCCCATCCTGTCCAGCTGGCTTTAGGGCTTCAGGGTAGGACTGCTGTCTGAGAAACCTCATTGCCTTGTTTTGTGTATGAAAGCATGCCAAAAGCATAACCATAAAAGTAAAAAGGGCAGAGGAAGAAATTAAAGGGAAAAAAAAAAAAAAAAGCCACCAAACTAACATGCAATTTTTTTTTTTTTAACTAGCTGACTTGTTTCTGGTGTTCGTTTTACTGTTTGGCATATGGATACAGGAATTCATGGAGCCCAGGAGGGAGAAGGCAGTTTGCAGGGTAAGAGATATCCCTGGCTTTGCTCTCCTGGGGCAGGACAGGGAAACGGGAGGTCTGCAGGCAGGATGGCAGGCCCCGGCTCACTGCCCAAACCTTCTCTTTCCGCGGCCTCCCTGCAGCCCCGGCGTGGGGAAGCCCTGCGGCGCTTCCCTGGCAGAACCGCCCCGGGATAGTCACTCCTGGAAGGCTGCTCCCGTCCCGCGGCCCAAACATGAGGGAGAGCTGGAGCCAGTGCAGGAAACTTTTCTCTTTAGGAAAGGATTCTTGCAAAGTGGTGGGACGGCTCTTCCCAACTCTCCCGGAGGGCTGAGGGGGCTTCACTATGGATTAAGGACCGCTCCGGGGCACACAAAAGCAGCCAGTTTCAGTCAGCCCTCCTCAAACAGCATGATCCTTCACTGGGCAGTAATCACCAGGCCAAAGAAAACAGCAAACCCACAGGTACCCTTAAACAAAAGGAGGGAAAGCAGCTCCCAGCGCTGGAAATGGCTCCCAGACAAAAACCATACCATTTTCTGACTGCCACCAGAGCTTCAGGCGATTTGGAGCAAACGTGGTGACAACATTTTCAATGCGATGACTGTCAGGATTGAGAGTATCGTGGAAGGGATCCTCGGAGTCACATATGAAACATTTTTTGTCCTCCTGAAACAACAAAATAACCAGCATTACTGATTTAATCTGTGGGGCAATAGTTGTTTCCTGCAGATAAGAGTATTTTCCTTCTATACCACATTCCACTCATTTTGCCTGCAGGAGTCATCAAAGGTATTTTTTTTGTTGAAATGATAAGTGTATTTACCTTTATGAATCAATGCAAATTCAAAAATGGAAAATATGCTAGGAATTCCATAAACTTTATTTTTAGGAGAAATTGCAGGAAATGTCTTCCAGCACATGTATTCTCCAGCAGAAGTCAGAACCAAAGGCAACATCTACAGAAAACTGCTGAATTGCTTCTCTACAAATGTGCACATACAAAAGTGCATCTTCAACAACTTTTGTGAAACAACATTGCCTTCTGGGAGCTAGCTTTTGGAGATGTAAGTCCTCTGCATTAGTGCATGACAAGTGGCCATCAGTGATTTAGTGACTGAGCCCTTTCAGCATGGGGTTAATTTTACTCTGAATCCAGCTTGTCAAGGTCCTACCTAAACCTCGCATCTTCACCTGCAGTTGCAACCCCAAGCTATGCACATAAACCCAGTTTGCACACCACAAGGTGTGCCCATGAAGAAATCAGTTGGGTACAGGTCTGGCATGTGCTGCTTGGGAAAGCTAGACACTCCTTCATCAGGGCAAAAACCTATCGTGACTTTTATTATGAGCAATGCTGGTTTTGCATTGTCCTGGTGCCTAAACCCACCACGTTCCAAGTTTGCAAGGTAAGATGTGAATTGAACCAAAAGGGAGGGTTCCTGCCCAAACTGGCAGTTTGGCTGCCTGGAGAAGGCAGAGGCGGGAGAGGAGCTCATCCCACGGCGGCGAGGGAGCCCCGGCACACCGGCAACTCACCGCTGTCAAAACCTACACAGGCATCATTCCTCCGGTGGGTTTATGGAGACAAATGCGGTGTTTTATCAGCCAAGAATGTGAGAGCTGGCAGGTCTGTGCCACACAGGTCTCCCATTTCACTGATTTCGGCTTCAGCAGCTCCTCCCAAGCCTGGTGCTTCGCCCCCCACGAGCCCCTGGACACGTCTCCAGCAGAGAGCATGGCACGAACGGGGGTCCCAGGAAAGATGTCCCCCCCTGTCCACTCCAGGCTCCTCTCCCCCAGCACCACAGCTCCCACCTCATGCCACGACTTACTCTTTCTCCCACCAAAATGGAATCCTAGAAGGCTCAATCCTGTAAAGCATGCAGCGTGGCCAAGCCCCATGTTATTAAGAGGATACTCAGCACCTTCCCACGATTTCTCCAATACCACCTTATGGTTCAGAACTAACCAGGGACATCCCAAATGCTGAACTGGGGCTGTAAGATCAGTAATAAGGGCACATGTGAGCTTCTGAAGTGATGCTTTTTACTATAGCACTTCAGCATTTTTTGAGACAAGAAAACATAACAAAGTGTCTTTGTTATTTTGTTCTACCAGAGATGCTAAATGTCGTTAAAGTCAATCCCAAAATACTCCAAAAATGTTCCAGTGAAGCTAAACCCCATGTTAAATCAAGTATTAACTCTCGCGGACAGTACAGAAGGGGGGAGGAGGGGTAAGATTTGGTAACTTCAGAGCACAAATGGGCCAAGCACTACAGCCCCTCAGGCAGGGCTCCTCCTGCTTCCCGTGGTTTTCCTTCCAAGTGCCAGAATCCGGCCCTATTGTCTCCGCTGTAAATTCGGCCGGAGATTATCCCCTTACTTTCAGTTCAACAGAGTTCCACTTATAACTGGTATTTTATTCTTCTCCACCATTTCTGTCTCAGAGATTTTTAAGGCTGGTGAGCTGTTCCTGGCTTAAATAGCAACGAGCTTTGTGTTTTCCACCAGATGTGTGAGACAACCTTATTTGCATCCTTCCACTTGGAGACCATACAAATGTAATTGCATTACGGGAACAGCGGCCAAAACATTACCCGGGTCCTACAGACCACTCTCGATCAGGAAGCTGTCTAGACGGCTCCGAGAAAGTCTGAAAATGAAGTGCTAATTGAGCTTACTGCAGCCCACTCCTCCTTATTAACCTCAATAAGGAATGGGGGGGGAGGGCGAAAGCCGCGAGGGGTTCCATGGACCCGGGTCGCTCTGCCGGGGTGGGGTTCCCGATGCTGCCCCACTGGTGCCCACTGCCCGCGCCTCCCTCCCGCAGGCAGCGGCTGATCCCAGCGCACCAGCCCCGGCGATGCCCCGGGCCGCGACGTCCAGCCCCACCGAGGGGGAACCGAGCCCTGCGGGGTGCCCCGGGGGCGCTGCCCCCCGGCGAGGCGCTCACCTGGAGGTGGCTGACGATGCAGTAGGGCTCGGGCTGGCGGAGGCCGCAGGTGGAGGAGGCGGAGAGGCGGGCGGCGCGGCCGATGAGCAGGTCGCCGGTGGCGGGGTAGCAGCTCCCCTCGGCGCAGCCGTAGCTGTACTCGGGTTCCTGCGCGGCCGCGGACCACAGCGCTGCGCGGCCGCGGAGGGAGAGAGGGATGAGAGAGAAAAGTGGGAGCGCGGTCAGGCCGGGCACCCCGAGCCGCCCCGGCGGGCGCTGCAGGGGCTCTCCCGGCCCGCCGTGCCCCGACGGCGGCCGGAGCGGGGCGGGAGTTACCGAGGCAGCAGCAGAGGTACAGCGGGAGGCGGCTCATGGCGGGCACCGGCGGGACGGGACGGGACGCGACGGGACGGGGCTCCCCCTCCACGCCGCCGCCGAAAGCTGCTGCTCCACGCAGGCGCCGCAGCTCCCCGCGGGTCCCGGGGAGCGGCTCCGCGCCGCCGGGCGCCCCCCGGCCCTCCTCCTCCTCCTCCTCCCCGCCGCCCCCGCGGGGCCGGGCCGGCCTGCGCCGCCCCTCCCGCCCCAGCCCCCCGCCCCGGGGCTGCGCCAGGGCCGGGGGAGGGAGCGGAGAAGCGGCTGCTGTCGAGGATGAGAGGCTGGGGGAGAGCGGCCCAGCGGCGGCCCGGGGAGGGGGGACGCCAGCCCCGCTGCAACCGGGGGGCCCCGAGGGGGGAGAGTGGGGGGACTCCAGCCCCCCACCACGGCTGGCTGTGCCCTCCCTGCGGCTCCCCAGCTCGGGGAGCGGGCTCTGGGCAGGGTGTGGCAACGGAGGGGGGAGATCACCGACGGGGCGGCCCCCTTTCCCTGCCCCTGTCTGTGCGGAGACAATGCAGAAATGGGGGGGGTTTGACCCAATCCTGCTTTCTCCCGGGGGTCCTGGTGGGGCCGGGCGTCCGGGAGGGAGGGATGGAGTATACCCATGCGGCAGGGCCCGAAAGCCGGAGGAGGGCCGGGGTGTTGGCAGCCATTGCACGTGGTGCTTGACAACCCCAAATCACTCGGTGCTGCGGTGCCAGCACACGCGGCTCAGGCGTGCCGTTCCTGGGGAGGGCAGCCATGCTGCCGTGCGCGCCTGGCCCAGGCCCAGGCCCAGGCCCTGGCCCTGGCCCTGGCCCTGGCAGAGAGGCCGTCGAGCCCGGGCCGGCCGCTGCGGGGCTGTTTCTTGTTAGCCGGGAGCAGGCAGTGGGGCGCTGGGGTGGCGGCGAGGGGTGAATGGCTGTGCTGGAGCTGCCCCCCGTGCTCCCGGCTTCAGCTGCCTGGGCTCTGCTGGTGGACGTGGGGGGCTTCGTCAGCTGGCGGCAGAGTCCCCTCGGCACCCTGGGGAAAGGTTTACTGGTAAATAAACATCGAGGAGTGGGTGTGAAGGAAGGACACGTTTGAAGAGCGCAGCCCTGGCTGGATGCAGGCTGGGACAGATGGCTGGGTTTATATACCCAAGTTTTGCTTGCACACGTGTAACACATAAACTTGTGTAAATTTTTACCAGGTACCGGTGTCCCTCAAGAACACTTTGCCCTCGTTATTTGCAGTGCCAGAGTGGAAACACACTGCGGTCTGTCTGTCCCAGCAAACCCTGCCGAGGTAGGTAAATATGTTCATTCTCATTTTACAGATGGATAAGCAGAAACAGAGAGATACCAAGTGACTTGCCCTAAAGGTTAAACACCAGGTCCGAAACATAACCCAGGACTTCTGATTTAAGAACTTCTAAGGCTGTTTCGTTAAAGATATCCAGGAAATTAAACTAATTTAAGCTGAAAGAGCAGGCACTGTAATTCTGAACCTCTTCTGCAATGCAGTCTTCTAAATTCACAAAACTAACTCAGTTTCACAATCCTGTCATGTAAATCATAGCACAACTTTGTTTTTAAGCTTTGGTACAACAAACATTTTTGCCCCACTAAGAAAATATTTTACTGTGCTGTGGTTAGAAACTCCTCCAGTCAGTCAGGCAGCAGCATCACTCCACGTGTGACTGTGTGAGGACAGAGTGTTTTCATTGCCACTGGATTTTTTTCTGTCCCTTTTTTTTTTTTTTCAATTTTTATAGACGTTCTCTCCTCTTTTCTTTTTTTTTTTTTTTTTTTTTTTTCTGTTTCATAGCCTTGTAGAGTCCTATCCTTCCCTAAACATAAATTGGGCTAAAGCTGCCCTCCAGAGCTCCTTGCAGCTGTGGTTAGGTTCCGTGTTTTGCTGCAGATGGCGTGACAATGTGCTGTGTTCCAGCCTGGGGGTGACCCTGCGTGGCATCAGGGATCACGTCGGAGTTGCAGCCACATGCTGGGGTGAGCACTGTCACCCATCACTGTGGGCACCTTTCAGAGGTAGCCAAAACCACCAGCATTCACTGCGTGAGTAATGAGGTGCAGTGAACTTGTTTGTGTCTGTCCCTCTCTGCAGTACTCATGAGCAATAGCAAGTGGGAGTATTTGAATTTGATTCTTCAAATGATAAAAGTTCAGTTTCGTGTCGTGTCCTATCCTTGTGGTTGGTGAAGCAGCTTTACAGTCGTGGGGTGTCTGTGTGCTGGATTGGAAGTCTCCTCAAAGAACAAAATTTCAGAATTTTACCTCAGTGGGACCCACTTGATCACCCGTTTTCTTATAACATTGCAATGGTTGAATGCTTAGCAAATAAAGCTGATGAGATCACTTTTAAATAAATATATCTTTGATTATATGTGGGTTTGATTAAGTGTTGTTTGCATTTTAGTTAATGTCACTGAAGTCAAATTGCTCTACAGCAAGATGCTAATTTCAGTATTTTTTTTCAAGAAACAGTTTTCTGAAGCCACGTCTGCCTACAAGAGGGGCAGGGGAAACTAAAAATAGGTATTTTTGATCCAGATACAGCATTTTCCCACAAATTAACTTTGCAAAAACACTGTAAAAGTTTTTGTGCCACTTCCCGTGGGGAATGCTGCACAGTTGTAAACCTCAGAAACTGTCACTGATTTTGTGTTCTGTAGCTGCTGGTCCCATTGAGTCTGCTCGCTTTGTGTGTCTGAGCATGCTTGGAGGAAGGCAGGGGAGGTTAGACTCCAGGCTGACTTTCTTCTTCCTGTTTCCGTTTTTCTTCCAGCGATTTCTGTTTTCCCCCATGGATACATGTCCCCTCCAGGCCAGTTTAACTGCCTGGTGTTTACAGACTTCTTATCCTCACAGCTTGTTGAAAACCATATGGCAACTCTTACAGTCAACAATGGATTTTAGGAGGAAGTTCTCTTCAATTTGCTGCTTGTGAATTCAGATTTTTGAAGCCATGAATGAAATAATTTTGGTTTCTATGCAATTGGGAATTTCTATCTAAGCATTTCAGTTTGCCTGTTTCAGGTGCAGTGCACCAGGGCCACACTGAAACCTGCAGGAAATCCTTCATAACCTGGAGATCTGTGTGTGAGCAGCTTGGCGAGTTGTGTGTTCTGAGTAAAACAGAGATACTCTATTTCATTATGGCAAAGTCAGTCCAAATACACTCACCTGATTACAGCCTAGTAACTTATAAAGAAGCCTCACACCCCACAGATGATTTTTTAAAAGTGCTAAAGTTCGGAAGAAAACTGCAAATTACGTGCATAACTGCATTTAGGTGTCTTTGTTAGATTACAATGAAGTTATAATTTGATTGCATCGTTTTCACAATAGAAGCTATTATATGGATAATGCTTGTTGCTCATTGCCCTGGAGCACAGCTGGTTTGAGTTAGAGGATTATCTCTGAAATCTCATCCCTGCCAGCAATTCCCACCCAAGCCCCCCCACCACACAGCATTCGAATGCTACTCTAGCTCTCCTAAACACAGAGTGATAACTATGGAGGGTTTATCTCTGTTGGATCAAAACAGTGCTTACTTTTAGATAAGGATTGCATACGGGTGCTGAGTAAATGCTGAGAGCCCTGTATTCCTACAGAGCATTCTTCATTTTACAGATGGGGTCTGGGCTCTGTACCCCAGCTGAATGAAGTCCATGATGGACGCTTGCTGCGGGACAGTCCAGCTGGGAATGACATGAGTGGATTTGACTGAAAAAAAGCCATCCTTAGTCTGTTCAGTGTCCTGCAGGAGTATGTATACCAAGGGTGGGATTTTGAAACTGAGGCGTAGCCCCCTTCAGTGTTTTTAGAGCCCTAGCCCTTCTATAGCACTTGCTAAGCCCCAGTCTCCTTTATGTTAAAAAAAAAAAAAAAACAAAACCAAAATAAAATTTAGGACAATTCCAGTGTTTATGGCTACAGGAAACTGCCAAGTGAACCCTGACTTGTGTGAAGTGCTGCATGTGGGAGAAGAGCTGGAGAAACTGGATTTCAACATTTGTGGCCCTTTAGACTCACTGCTTAAACCTAAGAGCTGGAGTTCTTCTCCAGCTGTTGGTTGCATTACCGAAAAAATGTGGGAAACCCCTTATAAGTATAAGAAAAGTAGGCACTGCAGGAGTGGTATTGGCAAAGAAAGGATGTTGAAGTTGTTTTTGGCATTAAGCATCTGTGCACTGCCATCCAGTGGGCACTGGGGATTTGGCTCCCTGTCGCGCACCGCTGATGGCCCAGCACTCCAGGGAGGTACTGCCCATCGCTGTGCATTTTCGGTGAACAGAGGGGGGACCCCCACATGGTCGGGGCTTCCTAGTGCTCCCCTTGCTGTGTCTCAGTGAAGAGATGGGGATGGGGGAGTGACGGTACCCTGGGGACGCTGCCGGCTGTCAGCAGGAGTGGCTACAGAAGCCCACAGCTCTCCATCTCCATCACCCCATCCCAGTCTGTGCAGCCCTGTGCGGGGTCATGGCACAGCCAGAGGTTATTGAAGGGTTCAGCAGAAGACACAGGGTGTTGGGAATCTGTCTTTGAGGCAGTTACCTACAACTCTCCAAGCAATCCTCCTGCCTTTTCTAACTCCCTACAGCAAGAAGCCCTAGGATGTGCACAGGAGTGTAATACAGAGCTCCCTCAAAGGCTACATCCTGATTACTTAATCAGCTGGTTTATTAAAAGGTATTTCCTATTTCCATATAAACTGAACTGGACAAAAAAAAAGAAAATGACATTATTCACTGTGCCAAAATACTGTCGGCACCTTCAGATGTATTTACAGAGGACAGCCCTCTGTGCCAGGAAGCTCAGGGGGTGGTAAGCACAGAGACCTCAGTTACATTTTACCTGATGGTCTGTTTAGACTCTAACTTTTGCATGTTCCATACTTGCTTTCCTGCTCCATGATTTCATTTTTAATGGCTATCACTTGTTCCTCCAGTTGTCTCAGTTGCTCTGCCTTGTCTTGCTTGGTTTGATTCAGGTCCTGAAGCTTCTTCTCCAAATCTGGAAGAGTAGAGACATGCAATGATGCTCATGTTTGTTGTGTAAGTAAAATCCAGGGATTAACAGCATTTCTTTTCCCAGCAGTTTTAGAGGCAAATAAGACCATTTCAAATGGGGAATGTGATATATGCAACTAGAGGGAAAAATCTGGCTTCAGGATAGCAAGAGAAACGTGACAGCCTTCAAGAAATTAATTTCTCACCATGCACTTTTGTCCATCAAGTAGGATGGAGCAGGAAACAGAGCACTTAAAGGAGTTGGTTTAAATGGAAACACTAGGAGGAACAGTTTGTCCAGCAATGTGTGTAAAGTCTAGAACATTTGGGCGCAATGGGCTCAGGTCTCCCTCTTTTGCAGGAATGTTTTCTGCTGGTCCCTGTGAAGCTACACCAATGTAAACACACTGGTAATGAGTCAGAACTACATTGTTCACTGCCTGTTTCCAATGCACTTACGCTCTTAACGCTTCTACCCGAGGTATATGTTTGACATATTTATTCTGATCTTGTCCTGAAGAATTTGCTCCTGGGATGGAGTTTCTGCTTCAGTTTTGCTGATGTTACAGGGTATATTTGGGCATCAAGCCTGGCAGGATCTTAGGCCCGAGGATTCCCAGTGGGAGTGCCCAGACCTTCACTGTAAGCAGAATTAGATTCCCTGTGTGCAATTACATGAGATGTGCTCTTCCTTTTTGGTGACTCTCTAAACCCACCCGAGGGGCTGTGGTGAGGACCGGTGCCCATACAGCCACCGCAGCCACAGCTGCCCATGACCCCTCTGCCCCGCAGGCCCAGGGCACGTCGCCTTCAGTCTCCACAAGCCAATATGTGTACCTGGTTTGTTCTACCATTGCTCAGAGGTGATGTCTGAAGGGGAAAGAGCATGGACTTACGGAAAACAGCCACCCTGGAGCTCTATAACACACGCCATCACTTGGGTAACGTAAGAAAAGAGCGCAGAGGGAAGATTTAAGGTCCAAATGCCCAAAGCAAATGCATGAATCAAGGCTTCCAGCTAAATCTGCAGCCAAGTTTTATGCAGATTTTGCACTTGTCTTGTTTTTAAACTGTGAATCAAATCACTACAAGTCCCTCTGTGGGCACTTCTTAAACTCTGCTTATAGCAACCAATTTGTGTCAGCAGAAGTACATAAGCCAAATCAATTCAACTACTTTTAAAATGTTTCAGTAGCTTCAAGCAGGAATTTTCACCAGTTAAATTGTTTTAAACCCGATTTCAGGTGAGCCTGGTCTGTCAGTGTCTGTGGGCAAGGACTTGCATTTAATTCATGACTCTCACAATTTTCATCGCTTGCTATGGAAGTGAGAACACCACCTGTTATTCTTTTAATTTTTTTTTCAGTCTCTTCAGCCAGTTTTTCTGCTTCTTCTTTCAGCTGTTTCACTTTTTCTAGTGTTACTTTTGGAGGTCCTCGGGCTTTTAGCTTTTCTTGAAGAATGGTGTACTTCCTTTTAATGTCAGAAAATTCCTGCAACAAAATGCCATTACTTAGTTTAAGAGCATCTCATAATTAATCTGGCGTATGGAAGGAGATTTTTATACTTTTTTTTTAATATCCTCTTTGAACCAAACTTTAAATCTCTATTCTTTTAAATATTAAAATATATATATATCTCCATAATGAGTGTCCACTGAACAATGATTTGCAAAACCTGACAGAAATCAATTAAACCAAACTGCCAATGGAGCAATCTAAAGGTGGGTTGAGGATGTAAAGAAAATACGATTTAAGATTTTTAAAGCTTATGCTGGTTTTAGTTCTTTTGATGGGGCTTTTCTGTAAATTTCATTTTGCCATGAGGCTTAATTTAAATTTAATGAATTATCTGTAGCAACATTGGGGTTTTTTACATTTTTGCTTGCAGTAATATTTACTGGCTAATCTATTCCCTGCTGACTTGGGTTGCTGTTGAGACTGCAGCTTAGATTTCAGCTAGGTTTCTTATAACCTGGAAGCTTGGTCATGCTCCAAGCTTGCACTGTGGGTGCCTGGTTCTCCTCACAATTTTAGCAAATTTCTAGCTGTATTCTCAAAAATTGAAGCTACTGAAAAGCACCCAGCCAACCAAAACCTCCAACTCCCACAGCAATTTTCTCTGAAGGAGAATGGCACATTTCTCTGAATGAATGGCCAGGCTGCTTCCATCACTCACGTATTTTAATATCTGATTTTGTGATTTGTTCTGTTGTGTTTACTGGTGCCCATGGTGACTATGAGTCTTATACACAGTGCAAGGAAAAATGTCATGGAGTAGCCAGAGAAATGTGTATGTTTTCTTTCATTCAGGCAAACAGAAGTATTATATGCCAGAAGCCTTAAAATAAAAAAGAAATTATTCTTAACCTGTGACATTTTATACTGCATGGCATAAGGAAAATGTTAACAGTTTTGAGGGAGCAGGGTAGCACAATTACACTTCTGAATCAAAAATGCTATTAAGCATGGAGGGGATCCTTTTTCCTTTCACACATGACAGAAAGGCTTACGTTATCAATATTCTGGGCTCGCTTGTGTGCTGCTTCTGCCCCTGCTCTTGCCTTTATAGCTTGATTCTTGTTCATCAGCATTTTTGCCTGCAATGTGGCAATTTCATCTTGCATCTCAGACTGCTTTGCTGACAAGTCATTTAGTTCATCATTTGTCTTGTTCACTTGGTTCTCAGCCTAAAACAGAGCAATTGAAGGCTGTGATTTCTTATGCAGTGTCCATCCAGCATGTTAATGAGGGAGAATAATGTCAACTGATTAAGAAGAAGAGACCCTTAGACATTATGGAATTGGTGTCATATCTATGCCACATTCTGGTTTTATTTATTTAAATTTACATTAAGGAAACTTCAAGATGAAGTATCTTTTTCTAAAATGTATGTAGTAAATAAATGAAAAGATCTACAGCAAGATACCTGTGAGATTTGTGTTCTGATGCCTTGTATCTCTTCATTTAACTTTATGAAAGTGTTTTTGGAGTGTCCTTGGGACTTCGCAACATTCTTTAGTTTATTATTAATTTCATCCACAGGTGGAAGAGCTTTGGCTGCTTTGCTAAAATGGAAAAATAGAAACGTGTGTAGTATCGTGGTGTGGACAGCAGAGCAAGAACACGTTTCAAATGCACCCGTGCTCACATGCAGAAATGTTCTCTCAAGTCCAGCAACAAGCGTTAAAATTGTGGTTTGTAAACTGGCAAAGCACAATCTCAGTAAGGGACTTGGTGTGGGAGCCCATGAGCTGCTGTATTAAAGGTGAGGCTGGATGCTGCCAGCTGCCTGGTGGTGCAATGCTAATAAGGAAGACTCACGGATAAATACATTTTCTCCCTCCTCAATTCTTGTTGGTTCTTTGTCACCCTAATTTAAACCTCCCAGTGAACCAGATGTAATGCTCCACTAGGTCTAGTGTGGAAGTAAGTAGCTGCTTTGGCTTTTTCAACTCAGCAGGCCGAGGAGCTGGGAGCTGCCTCCTTGCAGCATGTCAGCTCCCACAGCCTGCGTGGTTGTGGCCCGTTCCTGCTGGAGAGGCCCAGTGGAAATGGCAAGTTGAAATCTGCTGTCATACGAACTTTCCCTCCAGTATCACTAGGACACTGCCTGGGGTATGAAGCAGTCCTGCTGTTCACAGAGCCACCCCAGCTGGAGCTGGCACATCACTATGAGAATACCCTACTCACTCAGCTCCTTGTGCCTCCTCCAGCAGCATCTGAGCTTCCTCCCTTTTTCTGTTCCTCTCATCTTCATTCACTTTGTACTTCTCACAGTGGTTCATAATGCTCCTGATTTTGCTAAGCATGCCCGTGAGCTCGTGTGGAGTCAGGGGAAGGTTTATTTGCAGAACATAATTTGCCACCTTCTCAATGTCTTCTGGAGGCGCGCTCTCATCTGCAACAGAAATGGAGCTGAGGGTATCCTGAAGCAGCTCTTTCCTCACTGAAATGTAATTGATCATTATGGCTGCCTACCCTTTGAGTTATGTGGGAGAATAAAGCTGACAGGCACAGCAAGGGGGTAAGAGAATTATCTCCAACATTTTGTAATTTAATATGCTTCCAGGTACCGCTGTTAGCATTGTCAGAACTGGCTAAAATGAGGATTTGAACCCACTTTGAACTGGGTTATTAAAATTCTGATGTAGAACTGAGTCTGCGGAACGTTTTAAATTGGCGCATGGCACAGCTAGATGTGTCAGAGCCCATTTCTCCCTTGGCCCTCAGATCAAAGAGATGCTGGAGAGACTGGAGTGTGAATGGAGCTTTCCAAGCTAGCCGGTGGGTGTAATCCCTTCCCTGGAATCGCCACAGTATTGAGAAAGTGGTTCCTTCACTGGTTAATGAAAAAGGCAATAGAGGGAACTTGGGTCAGACTCAGATAGGATGGGAATTTACAGTAGGAAAAATGTATTTTGACAACTCCCTTTACAAATGAGCTCATCCTAGATCTTTGCTAAGAGGCAAGGCACACAGAGTAACCAATGCCTTGTGAAGTCTCATCATCACTTCTGTTTTCTGCTCACTCCCCTTTATAGACAAGACCTTGGGAGATAAAATAGTTGAAACATATTAAATATTTGTGCTAATGCTCCAAAGTAACTCACCAAGAATTAAATAGAAATTTACTGTGCAAACAGTAGTGCATTCCTGAGAGCTATTTTCTGTAGAAATATATTCATCTAAAATTACCATTTATGTCAATGTAGAGCACAGCAGATTTAATGTAACTATACGCATCTCAGCTGTTACTGTTCTTCAATTTACAAAACAAAAATTCATGAAATGATGCTTGTATAATTGTTAGTAAATGCTGTGTGTCTACAAAGAAAGAACATGGAAGAAGAGCCAAAGGTGGAATTTTCAATTGCTATCAAATAAAAACCTGAGAATCTTAGGGACTTAAATGGACTTTTTCTTCCAATTCAATAAAATAACTTAAATGTTCCTGAACAAGGGAAGTCCTCTGTCCTCTGCCCTCACTCTTGTTTGGATGTAGAGTTATGAATGCTAAAGGACTGCCAACATACAATCCTTAGAAATTTATGAGATCTGCTACATTTAAGAGATTAAAAAAATCCTACCACACTTTAACTCCTCTGATGTGCATCTGGTAAAAAAAATGTAGGCTCCATTTCTTACAGCATTTTTCTGCAATTGTGAGGGTGGAAAAAGTTTTAGGGTATATCTGGTTTTGTTATTTTTTTTTCTGAGAGCTGTGAAGTTCTACCAGAATCCTTTGATTCCTCAAGTTACAGCTTTATGGAGACGATGGAGTGGTATGTGCCCCAATTCCCACGCTCCCTACAGAGAGCTTCTATTTATGGGCCTGGAAGAAGGGGGTGGAATAACAATCTGAGGATACATTGGACATGCCTGGGCATTATATATTGTATGAAATTATCTTAGTAGTCCTTTACTCAGATAAACCAGGAACTGTGGGAATTATTTACATGCTTCAAATTAAGCACATGAGTAAAAGGTGACAATCGGAATGTAACAGATCTATTGGAAAATTAATGCAAAGTACTGTCACCTGGGAGAAAGAAGCAGTAGTAAAAAAGGGATTGCAAAAGATTACACAGATCAGGAGGTGGGCAAGAAATTTTATGTGTATACAGCTATATAATTTTCTGGCCATCTATTATGCTATATTATATTGGAATATACATTAAAAATGAGTCAAAAAGAGCTTTGCATATTTACCTAATAAGAAGTCTTTCACTTTTCGGATGAACTCCTTAGTGATCTCTCCGTCAACTTCAATTTGATTCTTAGCCCTCTCCAGTTGCCCATTAAATTGTGAGCCTCCCAACTTGCCATCTTCTGCCATTTTTCTAATGCTTTCAACCTGGAAATATTATTAGAAATAGCAATGCCATTTTCTGGAGGTTATCTATCATTGCTTGGCAAGTTGAGCTCTGACACAAAAATAATTTTGATCCAAGCCTCAGATGGAATTATTTGATGTGGCTTTGAAAAGCAATAGGAGACTCCTTTGGGGATCTCCAGAAGTTGCTACATCACGGCCTTCATCTGGCCTCAGAAAAAGCCTAATTCAAGCATTTTTTTTCTCCGCAACGTGTCATACCACAGCCCCTTCTGTTTCTAAAAGAAGGTGCTAACTGTTACATTCTATTGCAGTACCAAAGCCATGTCAGTAATCAGATTCAGTACAGAAGAGGCACATAATTTCATTTGCCTTTTCACATTGGACTTGCTGTTAAAAATACACTTAAGAGAACACAAATAAGGAAGGTAGAGTTTAAGGCTTGTCTTTAAAAGTTATATTTTGCCATTAAATTAGTATTCTTGATAATTTCAATGAGAGATTTAGATTAATCATCAAATTCCAACAGTATTTTGGTTTGCTGAGGCCTTAAGGAAATGCACAGGTACCTTCTCAGCAGCCCGTGGAGGGAAGAGATTTACTGTTTCCCCATGCAACGTGAAAAATGGTGATGTTTTTGGTTCTGAAACTTCTCAAAATACTTCATTCATATTATCACAGAGCTGCCTGAGGCTTGTGAGTGCCAAAGGCAATGTCCTGGCAGCCTGGTTGGTGCCCGCCACCTCGGCAGATGCCTTTTGCTGCTGCCCCAGTGTGTCCTGGGGCCCCAGGCATGTGCCCCCACTGGTCATTTCTAAACTCCTTAGCTGTGATGCAGTGTCATGTGCATTTTAAAAAGAAGAAATGGATGCCCAGGCACCCTGCAGAGACAGGACAGAGCCACAGCAGAATGAAATTTCTGTTGGAAAATGTGTTTTGCCTTTAACTGCAACAGGCATCATCTCTGTTAATAAGAACAAACTCTTTACTGGTGTTTTGGGATTTGTCCGTTTTGTTTCCTTGGCACATGTTGCATTGGCCACACTTTGCTTGAGTTATTTTGCACTGCTACTGTGCAGTACAGCTGACTACTTGATATCCTTCTAAACATCACCGGGGGCAGAAAAGCTTCGTCTTGAAATTATTTGCAAAAATTATTTAATGGCAAACATAAAAGTAATATGAAGTTATATATATACAGCTCAACACTATGCAGAGCAGTAATCCCATTGCAATAAGCATGATCCATACTCAGGCTACTGACAAATGGTGCCATTTGAATCTTCCCCAATAAAATTATAGACAATACTAGCCTGATGCCACCAACTTCCATAGGCCCAGGGCACCATGACCCATCAGCTTTTGGCAGCTGTGAGGAGGAGGAAGGCATAGCTAGAGGCACAGTCTCTTGGTAGGACTGGCACCTACTCCTGGTACTGAATCATGAGAGGTCTATGATGTTGGGACAGGGTCCATCACTATGTCACTGCTCTTTGTCCAAGGAGCAGGTGAGTTTTTGTAGATTTGTGACCTCCCAAATCTCATCCTCCATCAATTTCACTGAACAAATATAGGTTTGATATACAGCACCTGATTCTCAGGTTCCCGTAGCTGAGTAGTCAAGTTATTTAGCAATACAGCAGCCTCCTCAGCTTTCCTGAAGGCATCGGTGGAGACAGGAAGAGCTCCGCTGCAGTTTGGGCCACCACACTGCCTGTGTCTGTGACTGTCCCGGCACAAAGGTCCCATGCAGGCTGCTGTGACACAGGACTGGTCTCCTGGCACACCACAGATCTGCAATAAGGAAGATGCTTATGTCAGGACTCCTCTGGGGGCCTGAGATACGCTCCTGGGGGAAGGAAGATGTTTGACATCATAGGAACATTGAACACAGGGTGGGGTTTTCCTGAAGAGATGGTGATCTGGTGTCTCCAAAGATGGGTGTCACTTCCAGTTACAGGTCCCCCTTCCCTGGACTTGAAGGATGCAATGGCAGCCGATGGTTCCAAGCATCCTTATGGGAGCCATTTTTTGGGCTCCACATGTTGCACTAAGACCCTTGCTTCACTCCTCTACAGCAACAGAGTTTAAACCATCCCCTGGCCATATAGCCCATGGGTCAATGGCTTGTTCTAAAGGATCCAGATCACCTCACACAATATGGTGCCATGTCTAGCGCTCCATATAGTTTGACACAGATGTTGAGACTAAAGGCCTAGATGGATGATCTCTTCAGATCTGGCAGGGCTGGCTGAAAGTGCTATCAGGTATTTGTTGCTGCTCTGCAGAAGGACAGAAGTCCCTTCCTCTCCCATGACTGATGCAAAGGATATGTGAGCACTCCCCACCCGCTCCAGGGCAAAGTTGCTCAGCCTAGTTTTAAGTTACTGACGGAGAAGGTTGGAGTTAATCTTTCTGAATTTACACCGATGTCCTCTTGAGACTAGAGAGTATTTAAACAGTTCCTTGTGCTGGGTCTTCCCTGGGACCAATGGCTTCCAGAAGGGTGGTAGTAACCACATCTGAGTAATGCAGCTGTTTCTGAGATGACTCCAAGTCTGTGCCAGGGAAGTGACATTTTCCAGATTTAAAAATGCATGTAAGCACTCTCCTAAAATAAAACCTACGAACAGCATCAAAAAATAGATTTTCGTTTAGCTCCCATTCAGAATTCATAGTGCCTACCTTTTCACTCAGGTTTTGGATGTTGGGGATCTTGATCATCTTGAGCTGTTCCAGCACATTGCTTGCTTTCAAGGCCTGATCACCCAACATTGTGAGCGCGTAGTTCCTGGTGTACTCTGAGTATTTTACAATAGGGGTTGTCCCACTGGTTTTCTCTTCTGCCAGCAATGATACTTCAAAGTGTTTCTTAATGTTGCTGATGACCTCTGTAGCAACAGAAATAGGGTTTAATACGACTGTATTTTGGTTGCATTTAATTCAGTATATACTTGAATTCTGTACAAATGGTGAGTGACATTCAGTTTGTTGTCACTGGTGTTTGATTTGGGACAGCTGGGAGGGACAGGAGTTGTCATTTCCTCAGTGACACTTTTTAATCCTTTACTCAGCCAGTTGCTAAACAAGAATTGTTATTGATACTCATAAAACTTGCTGAAAAAGATGCAAATGCAGTGGATCCCATGTCATTCTTTGAAGTCCACAGTGTATGAGAAGCCAATGGAAAATGCAACTGTATGAAGGGCATCCCTTTAATGACACAAACTGCTACTGATTTGCGTACAAATGTAGCTCATGCATTGCTGCTATTGTTGCTTTGATAAAGCTCCTGTCATTTATGCTGGTTTGAAGTTTAGGCAGGAGAACTGTTTCTACCAGTTGCAAAACCTATGAAATGATCAGCTCTCTGATAGTGAGTCAGGAAAGTATTTGTCCTGTCTGTTCAGCATAGCACCCAAAAGTTAAATGGTCTGCTGAACTGGGGCCAAAATTTAGATTACAAATGGGAATTTATGAGTTTTCTTTGGCTCTGGAAAATCCAATTTCAGGGTTGATGCATATAAATAAAAAAAAAAAAAATTCCATGATAAGCTTGTCGGACATGCAAAAAAATACTCTCCAGCAAGAGTCTTTCTTGTTTACATAGTGTAAGCTTTCCCTTAAGCAGACTCAAAATGGTTGGAGACTATTACATTTTTTGCAGATTAATTCCCTAAGGAAAGGACTCAGGCTTTTTGCAAAACACATAATTTAAAGCTGCTGCTGTTGAGGCTTCCCAGATCTCCAGAGAACCCAAAGTAGTCCCCAGATCCCCAGGCAGAAGTGTGTGCAATGAGCTAGAACTGATGTGTCACCAGTGAAAAAGCATTAGAGGTCATTGATTAACATCTCCCTTTGTGCTGGTAACCAGCTCAGTTAATAGCTGAAGTCAATGACAAGGCACTCCTCAAGTCCTGCTACTTTGAGTCAGGCTCTAAAGCCCTTGGCCTTGCTTTGATTGAAGCTGAACAATGTTTAGTTACCATGTGGAGACAGGTCTATTTATTTTATCTTGTAACTCTTGGAAACAATGTACAGTTTGAAGTTAGCTCCTAATACAAAATACCTGGCAAGAGACTGCTGTAACTCAGTATCTAAGCCAGAGATTGTTTTCTGTGCAACAATTCCATTGCAGGAATAGTTTGCAGTAGTTCAGCTCTCCATTAAGTGGCCCAAATGCATTTTTCACGCTTGGTTTGTGATGGAGCTGTAGAGCTTCCAAGTTCCTTTATGTTAAACACGGCGTCTTAGCACAGGCTTGATTTGCAGCCTAGGAAGCTGAACTCATTGCATTATCATACCACAGTGGCTGCAAAGCCAGGGGCCAAGGCTGGAAAGCCATCATTTAATGAGATCTCATAAACAGCAAACTTTCTTTTAAGGACACTTGTTTTCTCCAATGATTTTAATTCATCATTAGTTATTGATGTTTCCAGGTCAGCCAGCTGAATTTATGCCTGTGAGGAAGTCTCCAAGCCCTGATCCTTTGCAAAGAGAGGTAGGTAGGAGCCCATTCCGCACACGTGTCTAGGGCACAAGTGCCAAATGTGCCCCAGGTGGTGTACATGGCCATATTCTGCTCCAGCAAAAAAGGGAGAGGAAAAAGCAGACAGAACCATACCTAGGATGTGCTACGGGTCCTGAAATGAAGATGGGGTGAGGGAGCCAGGCTTTCTCACGGATATCAGAGAAGCTGGTTATCTTCAGGGAAATGTTATTTCTGTGCTGCTAGATGCTGGGTAGAAGGACCAATGAATATATGTGGCCCTGACCAGAAATTGAGCTTAAATTCAAGGTCTTCCCCTCCCCACACCCCCATGTTCTTTTTATAGGGCTGTTTATCCATCTCCTGAGGCCAAAAGATGAAGTGGGTTTGGAATGTGACCAGAGAGCACCATGGATGCTTCAGCTGTGCATCCACTGGCCTCCCTGGGATTTATTGTTTCTTTGCCTTCCTGCCTTTCTCAGAGTCTGCACCAGACTCAGTTGGATCGGGAAGCCGAGCCTGGGAGAACTGTGCTGACCACTTGCGTAGGGACCTGAGTGGAAGAGCCGGCCCCTGGGGCACTGCCAAGTACAAAATCTTCATTAATCCCTCTTTTCCCCTCTTCCTTTCCCTTGGCTTTGTATTCTGTTGACTTCTCCTTCTTTTTTTTTTTTGATCTTGTCTAGGCCAGTGTTTTTTTTGGCCTGAACAAAACACAGAGGAACTGTAAATGGGAGCTTGTCTTCTGTGGTGTGCACCTTACCTTATGGGGGGTTCATATCTTCACAACCATCTCTTTGGAAGCTGTACTGCTGACAAACTCCTGCCACTATGGATGATCTAGCATCCTTTTGAGATCCCTGACTGATACATCGCAGTCTTTCTCCAGAAACTATTCTGTGACATTGTCATTACTGCTATTAGCAGCTGATGGAGACTATACTTAGCTCAAGCACAGACGAGTAATTCTTTCAAAAATGCCAAGGAACTCAGCTCTGACTTCACATTTTTTGATGATGGAAAGCTAGCTCCTTACCACATAAAGTCATGTATTTTCCCGTGGGAACACTAAGAAGTTGCACTATGACTCTCTGCTTTAATTAAACAAACTATTGCTGTACAACATTCTTTAAGTACTGCTAAAAGCAAGAGGAGTCAGAATTAGGGAAAAAAATCCTTTGCTTTTCTACTGTATGATCTGTGAGTCTATATTGTGAAACTGAGTGGCTCTTAAATCCTGATGTAAATATTGGGATTCATGAGACTTCTGGGATTCATGAGACTTCTGACTGATGTGGCCCTGGCACATGCATCTGAAATTTAGGATGCTAGAAATCATGGCATTTTAAGATAAAAGGGAGTTTGGAAAATCGGTATAAAATGTTAGTATTTAAATTTTTGTGCTAACACAGGAAGCTAAAATCTAGGGATCTTTGAAATGTTGTATGGTTCAATGATGAGAAAAATATTCTGAAATTTCACAGAAAATGTTCACCTATTTCAAATAATTGCCGTCTGCCTCACCTTTGAGATTCAAGTAATGAAAACTTTGATGCAGATATATTTTCTGTTGTAGAAGTTCATACACTAGGTCAGCTTCTTCCCCAATGTCTTCTATGTTCTTGTTAAGGTCAGGAAACTCGTACAGCATACTGTGAAGGGGATCCATTTGCACAACTTTACTTCTGAAAGGGAAATGGCAGTTATGCAGAAGTCAGACCGGATTGTTCTTAAACTCAAACTGAGATACACAGTATTTTAGAGGACAAGGGTAAATTTCTAAATCAGCAGAAACATTTACTTGTAATAGCTACTTTAGAAAACCCCTAGGATGAACTGGAAAATTCGGGCATTTTATGTGCCTGTGGGGGACACATAATACATATATAATATATATAAGGATTATTTCATTCACACATATATTGAAAACAGTCACTAAGCAGTCCAGCATCTGTGTGCTGATCAGAAGTGGGACTCGATGTGTAGGGATGGCTAGTGGAACCTGGGGGAAATACTGCTTTCTCAGCCAAGGGATTTTTTGGGGGATCAGATGAATCCTTACTGAACGTAGTCCTGAAAATCCTTGATGCCTGAGAGGGCCTTCAGTGAAAGAACAGGATGTCTCAAAATTCTTTCAATTTCAGAAATGGCATCTTCATAGGCTTTGAAGCGCATGTCACAGCTGGGCATTCGTCCTCCTTTATCTTCGAGATTTGCAGCAAACCTCATTAAACCCTGAACAGCTTGAGCGAGGGCAGTAATTTCAGTGTCCCACTGATCAAAACAAAGATGACACTGACGGCAAGAGGGAAAGTCTTTCTCAAAGCCACGGCTGCACTGGTTGCAGAACCGGCCGGTGACACCAGCGCGGCAGTTACATGCGCCGGTGGCTCTGTCACACTTGGGCTGGCCGGTTCCCTCCGGGTTGCACTCGCATGCTGAGAGAAAGGGAGAGCAAGTTACATCCAACTGTTCCTTTTCCATGGGATTAACGCATGCAGAAGGTACAGTCATGCATTTCAAGACAATAAAAGCAAACTGGTGTTTGAGTTAGAGCAAAGTGGACTGCCTGGCTACCTTCCATGTCATCTTTCATGTCATGGAAGTCATCTTGAACTTCCATGGTCCCATCATAATAAGAAGGAACAATATAGATAAATAATATAAACACCTCTATTCATCTCATATACACAAATGTATGAAAGCCTACTTCTCTAGATGTATGTCTCGTCTCCCCTATGAATATAAAAGGTAAATGTTTCTTCTGAGGCAGTTTTCTAATCCAGTTGTCCCCACTTATCAATACTTACAAATGCAATGCGTCTGGGGATTGCCAAAGTAATTTTCCTCGCATTCATCACAACATCTTCCGCTGTAACCTAGCTTACATGGACACTGGCCTGTAAACTGTAAAGACAGTTAGGATTAAATAACTTCCTGCAGAGTCATATGGCTGGATATACATTATTTACTGTGTTTCTTTTTCTCCCTGTGACTTATGACATATAGCTGTATGGGGACTGCAGTGACACTGCTCGCATACAGTCTTTGAACATCATGGTTAATACAGTATTGACTCACCTTTCCCATCTTCCTCCTGAAGGTTATGAAAACAAAATAGACTTTGAGAGGTGGCTCTACTTTACTAATATGAAAGATTTTATATGTTCCCGTCTACAGATGCTCTTTGAGAACTCATCCTCTGACTATGAAGAGAGAGATGATTCTTTTCCTTTTCAAAACAGATTAATTTCTTATTTTTGCTGGAGAGAAATACTCATCTTAACATTTCAACTTTCAACTACATGATATATTAACTGTAACTGAAAACCTCGAGGGTACATTATGCACGTTGCCCTAGAAAATTAATCTTGGAATTCAGCTATTAAACTGCAGGGAATTACAGCTTCGATAACTAGTACAGCTCATAAAAGCAGTAGCAGTTCTTTAAGGTTAAGAACTATATTTGCTAGGAAAAATAATAAATCCACTAAATAAACTGAAACAAACAGAAAGCATATTGAAAGGAAAATGTGAAAGCACATCAGCAAGAGCTTGGGATAAGCTCCTGGTGCTCCAAAGTCAATAGCACAATTGCCGTTGACTCCATGGCACCACAATTTCACCTCCCTATTCTAATAAACTGTTTTATTTTTTCTACATTCTAGCTCTAAAAAGTGCACAGGAATTAAAGATGAGAAAAAGTACCCTAGCAGTCTGATAGATGAGGCATGATTAATGTAATGGCCACAGCTGCTGCTTTATGAAAATAAACACTTAAAACCCATACTCATGAGACTCTTGGGTCTAAGCCTGAACTTCCTTCTTCCCTATACATATACTTTCGAGGCAGTTTTTTCCTATGTGACATTTTCTTACAAACTATTTATGAGATCGACTTGACAAAGAAACACACAGGCAAAGAGAAATTGCTTACAAGCAGAGCCACATTATCAGAAGAGCATGTTTAATATAATGACTCAAAGTATGATTGCACGAAGTCCAAACTACCAAAGACTTCTTGTTTTCAGGGAGCAAGACAAAAAACTTCTCATTTTTATGAGGGTCCTCCCTGTGTCATGCCAATACACCCCACTTCCTGGAAAGCAAAGTAATTTTCTTGCCTGGTTGCACTGGTTACTTTGGGAGTTTTTTGGATCACAGTCACAGATCTGACATCCTTTTCCACTAGCCAGGTCCCAGTAGCCAGAGGCACACTGGTCGCAGGTTGTGCCCACCACGTTCGGCAGGCAAGGGCAAGCTCCTGTGGTGGGGTCACACAGACAGGCTGCATCCCCCCCTGGGCACACGTCAGGGAGAACACCGGCCGGATTGCACGTGCACCCTGGAAAAAGAAGGACAATTACTACAGCAGATAACAATATAGACAGCTGATGGACAATCAGAGCTGTATATAAAGCCCATGTTGAAAGTTTACTTCTAGTAATCTTGAACACATTTTTAATCTCATACAGTTTACCTGTCCTTCTATAATAGCTTATATATTGCTTTTAGCAAACTTACTGGGAACACTCAGTACTTTTAATACAGGCACAAAAAATGAAAGCATAGTGAATTTTGAACCTTTTTAGAATGAAATGTTAAATATGCTGGATAAGGAGAAGCTAATTTACAGTAGGCACTATCCAGCGTGGGAAACCCCAGTAAGCCAAGTAAGATAAGAAGCCTTACTTATGAGGAGCCAAAAGTTTGTGCTTAACCATTTCTAATGATCATCTTCCAAGAATGAAAAAGGAATGGGTTTGAACTGTATTTTAGAGATTCCCAGAAAAAGGGTTTCTTGAAAATACCTGTAATTATCTGGCTTGTAGAAATTAGACCCTCAATCGGGCACATTTGTGAAAATAGTCTTTGAGAAATGTTGAAAAGAAACTTATGCCTTGCTTTTTCTTACACTCCTGCCTTTCTCTTGAAAGCACTGAGTTATTTACAGTGGCCTCATGAAGTCTATTAAATTGCCTGAACAGTCTCATTCTAGCCACTTAATGAAAACAACTGGTAAGGCAGGGAGCTCAGCAAGGGACCATCTGGTTAACTGCGCATTGCTTAGTTGGCATCAGCCAACAACATGGATAAATGATTATCTTTGATTCCTTTACTTTTGATTCCTTCCTGAATGTGCTGAACGCACATTTACTTTTTATAACAGAGAGTACTGATTTCATTTCACAACTGAGTAATTCCTAGGACTGATATTCAGTATGAGATTTAGTGAGTGGTGGATGACAATGAATTTAGTAGAGGCCATGTTAATGGTTATTTGTGTCACAGGATAGAAATATATTTGGTATTGTCATATTTTGCTCTATTGATCTGCTTTAGTTTTAATGTCCCTCCAAGGGGTAACCTCTTCCTATAGCCTAATTTCTTTAAAATTTTGCTTGGTAATAATCCACAGTTGCAGTACTCTTGCTTACTTACTTCGACAGTTTTGATCGAGGGCTGAGCCAAAATACCCTGGTTTGCAGATCTGGCAGTTTGCTCCATGGGTGTTGTGTAAACACTTAGTGCATTCCCCAGTGACCCTGTTACAGGACTCTGAGTCTGTCACATCAGTGTTGTTATTGCAGAGACATGGCACACAGTCAAGCCTGAGGCTGCCTGGGTTTTTGTAGAACCCACTAGGACACTCATCACACTGGTTGCCTGTCAGAGAGGAAGGGAAAAACATTTGCTGGATGATGAGAATTCAGGTGAAACATATAATTTCCGGTAACATTGTTAAAAGATTCAGACTGCCTGTTCAAATGCACATTTCCAATGGAAAATATCGACCCATTGGAGACTGTAGTCCTTTAATCCTATAATCAGTTTAAATTACATCTCCTACACTGAAATCTGATGGAAACGCACTCTCATCATCCCAAGTTGTTTTTACCAAGAAAGTTCTTTCAGTAGAATAGAATACGTACCCCCTTACACAACACCTCCAAACATCTTTTTCCAGCAAAGTCCTTTTAATGTCAGTAGTCAGGGTTGGCCATATTTGCAGGATTTTTCCTGTGGCCTTCACCCTGACAGCAGCATGGAAATGTGGGGGTTGTTCTTTCCCGGAGCAACCCAGAGTCCGGCAGACCTGCCCTCCATTCTGTAACCTTGTGGAGGATCTCCAAGAGGTCAGACAAGCTCTGGGATGTTCTGTCCTTGCTTGCTGGTGTTGCAGTTACTTCTGTATGCCACCCCAATGCCTGCCCTGATTGGGGTGCTATCTGCATCTCCGAAACCTTTGTGGGCAGGCTGGTGTTGCTGGGACTTCATGCACTGGCTCATCCTCAACCAAGGGCTGTGCTTCGCCATGGTCCTCAGGACCACAGCTTTCCACAGTCTCTGAGGAAGTGAGCCCAGTGCCACAGAGGTGATCAAGAGCCTCGTTGGGAAGGAGCAGGAGGAAGAAAGTCCAGAACTGAGGATTGCAGTGTTTTGTGAGGACTGAAGATCCATGGGTGAGTTCCAACGGGGATCATTTTGGCCATACAGCGATTACTCAAGCAAAACCACTCTTGACTTATAAAGGTACATGGCCTAAGTAAAGATGACAGCATTGGTTTAGTTTTTGGCAGAGTTTCCCATTAGGGTTTGCTTCCATCGTTGAAGACCTTTCTAATGCCCAGCGAGAGGGAAATAACTTCAGTTTTCCCTGCAGAAATTCAAGCTGTCAACAGGATCTTAGGAAGCAAGGCATCTGTTTGTTTGAGACAGCTGAGAATGGAAACTTAATTTCTAAAGTGATCATTTGAACAGTGAAACAGTCACTTTTGGGCATAATGTCAAAGCAAGATTCCTCTATATGAAGAAAGATTTTTTTTCTCTGATTAGGAAATCCTATCAGCTCTTTTTGATATCCTGTTCTTTCCAATTTGGGCTTCCAATGCCTGTTTTTCAGAGGTAAGAATCAACTGCAGTTGTCTCTGCTTCTCCCCACCAGGTTAATGTAATACCCCTGGCAAGGAGGTTTCCAGAGAGTGCCATTAGATTAATTAATGGCTTCACTGTATCCACATAAGTGGATCCCTTTTTCAAACTCTAATTGCCCAATTCCCATTCTTCTCAGTCAGGACTTCCCCACCTGATTTCAGTAAATTGGAGTGTTAACTTTTCTTACCTAATTCCTTACTGTTACCTCACTTGTCATTTCTGAACAGAGGGTGGGTAGAGGATGGTAATTTTTCTCTATTATATTAATTTTAATAGAATCAAAACCAGCCCTTATTTTACTTCATACCTGAATATCCCTTGAGGCAATTGCAGACTAGTTGTGCAGACCGGGAGTCCTGGTAACAGGAATGTGCAAAAAAGCTATTGCTTGTCGGTGCCCCTGGGCACATGCATGGGCGGCAGGGTTCTCCCTTCAGAGGGTTTCCATAATAGCCATCCACACACCTGTCAAAGCAGTCAACACAAAGCAGCAGAGATTGTCAAATGTTCCTTTCAGTTCCTGCAGGTGAATCAATTTATATGTATGCATAATTATTCTAACATTCCAGGTCATTTTAATATTATCCCCATTAATTGGTACAGATATATCAAAGTTCAAAGGTGTTCTAAAATGGAAAATCAAAGCTGCATTCCCAAAATCTGGAACAAAAAGAAAAAGAAGTATGCTTTCTCTTCAGGGTATATTTCTGAAGACTTTCACCTACCCTGGAACAATTTTGATCTAAATAATAATGTAAACACACGACATATCACACACGGTCTGCCTAGACAGCTAAAAGCTGCCATGTAAAAATTCTGTATATTCACCTATCACCACATATATTAATCTATTTCCATACACACACACAGAGTGATTGGCATGACAGTAGAAAGTCCTGGCATGTTTCAAAAAGAAACAATTCATTCAGAGAACTCAGAGAACATTGCATATTTTAGATGCAGGATATGTATTGAAATCAGCCATGCTCTGTCTGACACGTTCTACAAACCCAGTGTGATGGCTGTTTCGAGGTGGTGGTGGTTGTGCTGTTACCCAGACAGGCGGGGGGGCTCTGGGGGCTCCCTGGGGGCTCAGACACCCCCACCACCCTGCCCGTCACCGTCGCCTCTGCATCCCAGCCCCCCGTGGCCCTGCAGCTGTGGCAACACAGCGGCTTCTGAAGCATCCTCAGTCTTTGATCTGCTTTACTATGGCAAATGGGAATACAATTCTCTATATGTATACAAGCCAGGCTAAAATTCTTGGCTATTCGATTATCCTCACCCTGAGGTCTGGAGCTCCTTCAGAGGCACAGGGCAAGTATTTCAGTCTCCCACTTTTAATCTATTTGCCACCTACAAGCACAATAGCCAAAGGCTGTATTGTCCAAAAGTGCTTCAAGAAAAGCTCAATAGGTTTCATGGGGAAATCCTCTTAAAAATAAATGACAAGGTACAATACAGCCAAACTAAACTAAACAGCTAATGAATTTAATTCTGATATCTGTATTGAACTGTGATACTACTGCCAGTGTATAGAATAAAAAAGAGGAGCACTGTTTTGAACAGAGCTGGAACACGTGGGTAAAGTAATTTGCTGGTCATATGGAAATAATACGAAACAGCAGATAGGGCATGTTTATTTAAGCTCCTCAGAGATCATTGCAGTTATTAAAATGAGTATTCGGCACGAGGTTAGCCTCTTGGCAATTTAAAAGCTGGCAGGAGCCAGTGTATCATCTTGTATACAGTGCTTTGCACATGTGTCCAAGCACACGGAGCCGTGGCACCCATGTCTCAAATGCCTTCTTGCAGGACCCTGCTGCAATGCCGTGTGCATGCCGTGCCCACAGTCCTCCCACAGGCATTGCATGCACATTCCCACATGCACTTGCCAAACAAATAGGGACCTGTCATTCAGCAGTTAGGCCCAGTTTAATCCTGGGTTTAGGTATGCATCTCCAGTTAAGGTCACTGATGCATTCATGGGGATGTAGATGGGCCCTCCCCTATCCGTGTGTTTTGGACACCACCAGTGTTTGGGTGGGATTTGAAGTGCTGTTCATCAACGTACCTTTCACAGTGGCTTCCAGCTGTAAACCCGCGGCAGTTCAGGCACGCTCCGGTCACCGGATCACAAAGCTCTGTGTAGCCGTTACACGGGCAAGGACGGCAGTGGGGAAATCCAAAATACCCAGCCAGACATCGGCTGCAGCGCTGACCATCCACCTCCCGGCGGCAGGAGCATTGCCCCGTCACCTGGTCGCACAGCGTGCTCAGCGAGCCTTGCGGGTGACATTCACATGCTGGAAAACATCGAAAGCAAAGCTCCGTCCTGAATGTATTCCCACCAACCCCGCTCGCTGCTGACACTGCCTGAAGGCAGTGAGAGCAGCGGGGATGGAAAACTTGCTATTTGTGGAAACAGTTTCTATTTTGCTTCACACATAATCATGGATTCAAAGTCCTAAATAGTTGGGGTATGCATGAAGAGCCAGATGCTGGTGCTGGTACCGGTGCTGGCTGCCAAGTACTCACCGTAGCAGCCGTGGAAGCCGAAGCCGTAGCTGCCCGCAGAGCAGGTGTCACAGCAGCGTCCCACGACGTTGGCTTTGCACTGACACTGGCCCCCCAGTTTACTGCAGCTGGCATTCAGCGACCCTTGGGGATTGCACTTGCACGCTGCCAAGGAGAAAGAAAATCAAAACGGGCTTAGTTATAAAGGATTGTGACTGCTCTCCTAAACTTAGAGGATTTACACTTAAAAATAGGAAGGAAAGAGCTTGATTATTCTCATCAGGGGTTCACTAACCACTGATGGTCATGGCTGGGATTCTTTGGTGTGGTAGCATCAATGGCAATGGCGTATCAGGCATCAACACAAATCTTGGTGTTGGAGCTTCCACATTCAGGGCACTGCCTTCAGCACATATTTGGGATAAGACAGAAGAGGGCATAGCAAAATGTAGACCCAAAATGGAGATACCCTGAAGTCTAGCAGGGTGTGATATAAATCTATGTCTAGCTGCAGCACTGGACCTAACCTGCAAGCAGTACTTAGTGTGCACCTGTGTTTTGTTTGCTGCTTTCTGGACACCTTGGACTAACTTGCTGAGTGAAGCTGGTCTGCTAACTCACAGAGGATGCTTGTCTATGTTTCACTGGGAGAATCCCATCACTATGGGAACTGGGCTAATGGGGAGTCACCACAGCCCAAACTTAAATGAGGGGGGGTCTGTGGTTGCATAGCCACAGTCACATAGCATGATGTGTGAATGAGGCATAGGTCCTTCTAAAAATAGCCCAAAGCAAGCAGGTGCTCTCAGGTTCATTTGAGACAAGGCTCCCTGAAAGGAGTTGCCCACCAAAGTTGTCCAGAAAGGCTCCTCCTGTTCCTGGAAGTGCAGAGAAGCTCTGTTTCTCTGGGCCCAACACTAGGTAGGGAAGACTCCTGACCCACCAAGTCCAGCTGCCCTTTATGCGGTGGGTCCAAGAGATTGCCTGGGGCTTCAAACCCCACCTGCCACCACCCTCTTGCTGGGGCATCACTGAGGTTTCCTTGGTGAATCTCTTCCAGCACATCAGTTTGTGTGCCATCATGCCTGGAGTCCTACCAGGGCATCCAGCTGGCCTTCAGCATCCAGAGAGAGAGCTTAAAAACTCCTCTGTCATTTTACAGCATCCAGAAAAGTAGGAACTACTGCTTTGGTCCTCTGGTGAAGCTGCATCTGATTGAAATGCTCTTCAGAAAACACACAAGCACTGCCAGGGTCCCTGTCATGCTGCTCATCAGCTGTGATGGACTCCAAGAACGATGACACGAAAGGTGTCTGCAGCGCACTCAGGGTTCAGCAGGACACACCCTGCATGTCCATACACACAACATGCTGATCGGCTTCACTTACCTACACCAGAATGGGCTGAGAGCTCTCCAGTCAATATATCCTACAAACTCAAGGGAAAACCAGTAACTGTCCAAAAGAGCTGCCTGTGCAGGTTGCTCCTTACCGACGGCACCGTTGTGAATACGGGCTGACATGCTCACTATGAGCCGTGCGCACGCTTCAGGCAGGACGTGAGGTCCAACTTCTGATGCAATTTCAATACAGTGATACTTCTGGTACTCGTCTAAATCCTTTTCACTGCAAAAGTTCTCCATGGAGACGATTCTGGGAATAAGTCCAAGCTTTGGTGTTAAGAGGGAAAAGAAAATATTTTGCTTTGATATTCTGAAAACCAGAATCTCCCACATTCTCTTACTGTGCTGTGCATTGCAAGGACAGAGGCCTGGAGCACTGTGTTTCCAAATCTTTCATTGTACTGCTCAGTCATCTAAATTCACATTTATTCTGAAGGTTTAGACATTCCCTGTGTTCTTAAAATAAAAGAGACTGTGTATAAAAATGTCAGATTATAATAAGACCTCAGATACATGCTCAGAGCTGTTTTTGCTTCTAAGAGGTGCCATGTTAATGACTCCAAAAGCACTATCTGGCCAAAATTTTTACTTGTATTACCAAGATAGAGAAAAATCAGCTGAAGGTTCTATGTCCAAGTATGGCCATCTGTTGTCAGGTCCAGTTCTACAGAAGTAATTAGAGGAATGGACTTAAAAATATTTTTCTCAAGAGAAGGACCCAAAACTAACACCCAGTTCCTGACTTGGTGGAAACTTGGGAAATGTCATCGACCCGATTCCCATGAAAGTACAGAACTAATTTTACTTTTCCAATGTCATCTTCAAATATATCCATGATTTTTAAATTAGATTCAGACAAATTATACGCATTTTTTAAAAACCTAAGTGATGAAGAATTTCATGAATTTATATCCCTAGCCACAGCATCTTGTCAGCATATGTGGAGTGTGCTCATAACAAATGAACAACAGATAAACATACTCTGACTATTAACATATGCAACAAGGACGTCTTGATGACCTATTACGGTATTGCTCTGTGAAAATTCAAACAGATACAGTTCTGTCTTTCCATCCAAGAACATGCAAACACAGTGCCAATGGAGGTAAGCAGAAGTACACTTCTCTGAATATCTATTAAAATACACTATAAATTGTTTTAAAATGTTTTGAGTAAGTCTGTGTAAAAAAAAAAAAAAAAAATCAATCACACTTGTATAAATACAGCCTCAAGGGGATTGTGACAGAACTACTCACTGAGTCGATCAAGATGAATGATTTTGCCTTTGGGTCAGAAGCAGAGGGCTGAGAAAAATACACCTCCACAGAATAGTCTGTTCCCGGCTCCAGGCAGACTGGAGTTTGCAGAATTGCAATCCTGTTTAGCAGAAATAAGGCACAGTTATAGCCAGGAGTCAGTAGTACAAGGCAAGTTTAGGGGATGCTGTGAGTGCTCCGTCCCCTCTGTACCTTCATCCTAATGCCTGCAGCCCCAAGCAAGCCCTGCTGCTGCCGGGAGCACACCCAGCCCCACTGCTTGCAGGCTCTGGGAAAGCTGCATGACTTCTGCCTGGGTGATTCACCAAGCAAAATTTAAACCTGGTGAGACTAAACTGAAAATGGCAGGTTTTACTACCTCAAGCAAAGGAGTTTGCAACTCACTGTTCATTTTTTTCCTTTCTTGTTCCTGTTTGATCAAGACTTTGGTCACATCCTTTTGGCTACTCTATTCTTTGCATAGGTCCAGGCTGGAAGGCTGGCTTTGAAAATAGGCCAGGACAGTGACTTTAAATCAATATTTCCATTCTATACTGAAATATCTGCAGCTGGATCTTTGCCAAAGCAACAGCTAACCCCAGCAGGATCTCAGGCTGCTCTCCTGGCTTGGGCAAACCGTTGCCAGGCTGAGGACTGGAGCATCAGGCTCTTCCTTAGAGCCTACACGGTATTGTGGTGGGACAGTGACAGGAAAGGCCACACATGTGTTTCTAATATTCCCATTTTCCCACACATTTGTTTCTCTGCAGTGTTTCAGTAAAAGATTTGTACAGAAAATCTATAGGTGAGAGAGCAGGAATAGCCAGACCTCTTTGTAGCTGGGAGAGGCAATGCATGTGGCTCCTGTGAAAGACCCTTGTTTTTGCAGTGTTGACTTGACAAAATGCCAGCAGGCTGGATGGCAACACTTGCTAGCCAGTCTTCCAAGGACTATAAACAAAGGACAAAAATTACAGTCATTTTTCATATCTGAAAAACCCACTTTCTCTTTGTCACGGTTAAGAAAAGCTATCTGAACGATTGCACACAGCAGTGACAAAACAAATTTCCCCTTTGTTCTTTACAGAACTAAAAAAATAATGTTATTTGTGAAAAATGCATTTTATTTGCAATGGCTAATTGAAGAGCAGAGGCGGAAATGGGACCTCATCTGATGCAAATGGAAACAGCTCCGTTAAAGTCATTGCAGTTGTTTCCTTTCTTAGCACAGTGTTGTCCTGGAGATATCCTTCACTATCTGCCTCCTCTCACATCTAATAAGGAATAACAAACATAAAAGACATTGTAACAAAAGTCTTTAAAATTCAACTGTTTAATCTAATCCTTATTAGGAAAAAGCTACATCAAACCAGCCCACTGCAAAATTGTTCTCACGTTTTAAGACACTGGGAGTTTTGTTTGCCTCACAATGACAGTAAGAGAACAGAATACAATAGACAGAAGGAGGATCTTGAGTGGTGAGATTATCCCAGGGAGCTGCAAAGTGAAAGAGCAAGGCATGTACAAATACTGGTACCAATAAAACACTTGCCTGTGTTTTTGAAGACGTGGGTGCAGACTTGGGTTTAACCAGATTTGGGTTAACATATTTCCCTAGACATGTCTTCATCATTAAGAAATTTTGTCCAGGCAAAAAATAAGATTTTGGCAATTTTCCTGCAATTTTCACACATCTCAGAGCCCAGCTGGAGGAACTGGGAAGCTGGATGTCTGCAAAAGCCCTGGATAAATACCTACTCGGATCACTCCTGCCTGTGCATATTTTCCTGCCTAAAAAATCTTAGCTAGAAATACAGGATGCCCATCTAAAAGAAGCTGCATTTTGCATGTCTCTGATTTATGAACAAAAGTCCAATCCAAGCAAAGGTACCAAAAGAGGAACTCCAGAAGATGAAAACTTGGCTGATGTTTAGAAAACATTTGTAGCACTGATTTTTCATATTTTAGTGGAAAGGATTAAGGGGATCAGTGGAGGGCATGCTACCTGGTTGATAGGGATGAAAAGGCAAAAAATGTTTATTTTAAATGTACAGAGTGGGAAACGTTGCTGCATCCTATTATTGACAAAATAGACCCTGAATCTATCACAACATCACAAGACACCACAGGTACCTCAGGCTCATAACGAATCGTGATATCAAAGTCCATAGCAAAGGGAACGTTGTTGATGGCAAACCTCAGCCCGGCTCCGCTGGGCACGCGGGCGAAGCCGGGTCCTGTCCATGTGACAGCCCGACCGGCGCTGGGCTGCCTGAAAACCACCGCCACAGCAGAGTCCTGCCCAAACTGCATCACACCCTGCAAAGACATATTCACATTTCCAACAATACACAGAGTCAAAGTACAAAAGAACAACAACAACAACAAAAACTCAGAAAAAAAGAAAGGAAATATTTTTGCCATGTTGTTTCCTTATTTCAGCCATCAGCCAGCCTCATTTTGTGAACAAACTCGAGATTGACAGTCAGAGAACTCTCCCAAATGTAGGATGTTTAGAATCACATATAAAGAAAAGTTTCCTAAAGCTTTGCAGTGACATCAAGGAGAGGGACTAGAGTAATCCATCCATCTCTGTATATTTAGCATCTCCAAGCATTCACATCACAAACCTTAAACAGATTAAGCCTGATTTCATACATGGCTGGACTTTTCATTAAAAACTGAATAAATATCAATACTTACAATGACAAAGCTGACAGCATTTAAATGCAGTGGGTACCATGTTAATGTCTTGGTAAACTTGTTGGAAAAAGGAAAATGTTGGAAATGTCTTGCAAGCAAAGCAAACAAGAAAAAGATTCTACCTTTCATGGGGTCTCTTCTCTTCTAAAAAATTAATTCAACCTCATTCTACAGTGCCACTGGACATTATAAAATGTCTGGCCCAACTGCATACCAAAAAAATTGATTTAATTTGTGTCAGGATTGTAACATCTAGGACTGCGCTCAGCACGTTTGCCTTCTGTTGCAAAATAAAATTTTAGTATTTGGTGCAAACTTAAGTAACTATTCAAGTACTAATTTACCTGCTCCAGTCCAGATTTTCTTATACTTCGTTTCCTGCTCCTGTTTAACACAATCTTTCCATTTTCAATCGTGAACTCATAACCTTGCTTCTGGAAGTAGATGTCACACCTTGGAAGAGTGCTTGGTTTAACCTATGAAGTAATGAGAAAGAGGCAGCACTGTCTTAACAATTTTGAAGGGTAGGTAAGCAGCTAAATGAGAAGCCACATTCTTAAAACAAGCTCTATTCTCTGCTGGTGAAATTCTAAACTATGGCCCCACAGCTGCTGGAAACCCTTTTCCCTCACTCCCTTAAAATTAACTTGCACTTCCTCTCATGAGCTAAGTCCCAGACATCTGTTTTCCATTTAATTATTGGACTGTAGGATGATTACTGGTTGTGATTATAGTTAAATATTTGCGGATATGACCTGCAAATAAACATTTTTTTATTATTCCTTCTCTACAGCTCCTGGACAACACATCAGAGAAGAAATGTTAGTAAAAACATAGGCAGTGAAAGGGATTCATTCCAGACTTGTACTCTGCATGGAGAACAACTATCCCCAAATTGAGGGGGGAAAAAAATATATACAAATTAATTTTTTTAAAACCATTACAGATAGATGCCAAATTCTTGAGGAAATTGGGCTAACAATCAGTGCCATTACATAAGGCAGCAGGAATGAGCCCAATGGAGCTGAGAGGAATTTGATTCTTCCCCTGTTGGAGATTCCCAGAAATATCACAGTTCATGATAGCTGTTGGCAACTCAAACACTTTCCTCTAAGTTAAATAATTAAATTAATGTCTCTATTTCATGCTAGACTAGCCTGCACTTGAGGAGCAGCAGGACAGCTTTGCAGGCCACACCATGCAGTAGCAACTGTCCCTTGGTAACAGCCACAGTTATGGGACATAACTTCATGTCCACGAAGAACAAGGATGAACTGAGGATGTTCAAGGGACTTGCTTTGTATCTTCCTGCTAAAGAACCACTCTGGCAGCTCCCCGAGCAAGGGCTCCTCTCCTCAGCCTCGGCTCTGTGCCACCACTGCATGGATCCCCTCTCAGTACAACACCTAAAAAGCCAACTACGTACCAAGGGTGCAGAGCCTGAAAGCGGCTTTGCATGCTCAGCTTCATAAATATAATAATCCAGAGGTAAAAAGAAGTATCCTGGGGCTGGCTCATTACACTGACGGCTCACGATGTTGGGGAGACACTTGCACTGACCATCCTTTGGTGAGCACCTAGGGTAAGAGTTGATACAGGGAGGATGTCAGAGTGCAGCATGGCTGGGTCCTCATGTCACGAGAGCAGCTCAGCTCCATCCTTGTTTCAGCTTTGCTTCATTTCTTCAAGTGTTGGATTGTCTCTCATATTAAACTTCTTCCTACTACCCAACTCCTCTGATTCCTACGCCAGATTTATTCAATGCTACTTTTTCATTGCTTAGGAGACGTGACATGCTTTGTATTTCTCTGACCATTCCATATCTGAAGCACAGATTTGTTTCTTGAGCATCTGCTACTATCTATTCCTGTATTTATTTCTCATATCTGTTTTACTGGATCTATCACTATTCTTAAGCATCTATCACCTGCAATTTTGGAGGGAGGACATGAGATCAGAAGGACCTCTGATTTGATGCAATATGGTAGTTTTCATATACTTACGCTCTTATTCAACACATTGGATGATTACTAGCTTTGTTTTACCTGCTCGCAAGGAGCTGCTCTACAGCATTGCACTATGTGCTCCTACATCAGAGGCCTAACAGCAGTAGTGAAGACCCCCAGCCAGCAGACTTCTGGGGGAGCCCAACTGAAACCAACCTTGGTTCTAAAATTATGTATTTTGAATAGGAGCCAGTATGTCAGAAAAAAATAAGATATTTCTAGCTTTTAAAGTAGGTATAGGAAGCTAAGTTAAAAATATCACCTCTAACTTACTTCTAATTTCTACTAATATTAGGGCCTCTGGTTCTCTCAAGCCATGCAGTTTATATTTTGTATTAAACAAATCTTGGCTCAAGCTGATTCAAAGTTGACTTCAAAGGAAAAAGGTAAATCCCCTTACCACAAATAAATTTCCAAGATCCAAACCTGACTTTACACTGTTTGTGTATGATAAAATGATGTTGTCTATTTTCCCATTTGTACTGAGACTCTATTAACCTAATTAGAAAATCTAACCGAAGAGTTTATAAAAATTAAAACCAAGAAAGAACGTGAAGAACATTAACTTACAAGTTATTCTGGGATCCACCAATATCACAGTCACATGGAGAACAGCCATACAAGCTGTTGCCAAGACCCCAGTATCCTACCTGGGATAAAAAAAAAAAAAAAAAAAGTGGAAGATTTTTTAAGGCAAATATTTAGGTATGTAAAGCACAACAGAACTTATTCCTCTGGATGAACAGTGCTCTGGAGCACCACTGTGCTGCTGCCTGTGCTTGGCCATGGGAGATTGCTTCTCTTACCAGATTGCATGGGCACTCAGCCACTGCAAGAAGAGCCAAATATTTACCCATTTGTGCAATCAAGTTGCTCTGTAAACAGCAAAGATAGCCTGAGGATGTGATTTTGCATTTCCTTTTCTTCTTGGGAGAGCTCCTCCTAGTGCAATTTGATTGCACAAATGTTTGCAAGCAGTAAAAAAGAACCAAATGCGTCAATGCAAAATGGGAACATACAGCTGTAAAATAATTTTGAATTTTGGCTAATTCCTTCCATTTCTGGCAATGAAAAACTGGGAGATGGGAGAGGAGACTTCTAAAACCACATGCAGAAATAATAACAAAAACTGAGTAAGTACATACAACGCATTTTTCACAGCGTTGCCCCGTGGCGAACTGCTGGCAGAGGCACTGTCCCGTGGCGGGATCACAGATGGAGAAGGGCAAACTGCCGGAGGGATCGCAGTTGCAGGCTGCAGGGAGAGAAATGCGCCGTTACCTCTGCAAGCCCCAGCGACGGCAGCAGGACTGGCGTTGGCTTCAGATGTGTATTTCAGATTGTTTAGATTCAGCACGGCACGCAGTTCCCATCCTCCGGACGGGTGCTCTGCAGATGGATGTGCCCTGCACCCCTCAGTCTGCCCTCGGGGAGCGGACCATTTCCTCGGCGGGTACCCTCTCCGGGGGAGCAGGCGTGCTGGCAGGGGTCTGGTGCAGTGGTTTGCAGTGTGCTGACCCACACTGCACGGTCCTTGCATGTTGCTGAGGACCGCACTGCACGTGTAATGTGCTCACAGTCCCACGGTGCGTCTGGGTAGGGGTGGGATGCGCTTTCCAGCGAGCCCCTCTCGGAGGAACGTCTGGCTGGAGGCTCTCATGGCAAGGCAGCAGCTCCTGCCATCTTGATGCTGCACGGCACAACTATCCTAACAGCCCACCTGTGGCTTCTCATTCACTATGCTGATTTTGAGGCCAGAATAATTTTCATGCAATTTAATATCCCTTTTCAATTAAATTGCATATTTAACAATCCTCCTATTAACAACAGCCTAGTCTATTTCAGTGTATTATGCATTCTGCAAGTGATTTTGCATCTTTTCGGTCTCAGATGCTGCACCAGGAACACTAAATTACGTTGACATTAAATAACAGGAGGCAACCGGGTATTTTGTGAGGCAGGTAGTGCATTAGCATGTGCATCTGTGCATTAAGCTGCCTCCAGCTCTTACAAATGCTTTGGAAAGAAGAATGAAATAGGTGGTTTACATACGCCGGCAGCCCAGAGGGTGACTGCTGCTCAGCCCATAGTAGTTTGCCCTGCACTTGTCACAGCGGACACCCTCCACGTTCTCCTTGCAAGGGCACCGGCCCGCGACCGTTCCCAGAGCAGGATCTGTGTGGCTTTCGCACCTGCCGTTGTGCAATGTACCTTCTGGGTCACAGCTGCAGGCTACAGGCGTGGTCAAGGAGACACATAAAAAAGCACATTTAGGTATAAACGTGAAAATGCAATTATAGAGATGGTGGTAGGCAGAAATTCAGGATTAGAGACATTCATCTGTGCTTGGTGTGTTGGATGTTTTACTCTTAATGCACAGCTGCTGTTAAGAAATACTATGAGAATGTTTCCAAGATCTGCTTTTTCTCTGGAGGAGAGTTACAGCCTTCACTTCAGTAGAACTATACCCTTTGCTTTGGGTAGAAATAGGCATCACTCAACCATTCCTTACCCAATCCAGAGTATCTGGGGAGGACCAAGCCCCATACTTTTGGGGATGCTCTCATGAAAGCTGTAGGGCTGCAGGTGTCCCACACATGAGCCACCTCCCCAGGGCTGGTCTGAGTTGGTCATGGCTGAATTATTTACTGGAAGCAATGGATTCAGCATGGGACACTGCCTTCATGATGCATCCTGTTTTTTCCTAAGGCGCTAACCATTTCTCACAGAAGAGTTGACATCTAGCCTACCACTCCCCTGGGTAATCACCCCTTGGATCCTTAAGGACTTTTCATGCCAATCAACTACTACAATTCAATTATACTCAGAGCATGTTTCCCATCCTATGCTAATACTGAATTTAGCTCGTCTTTCAGAAGAATGGCTTTTATGCCTGAAAGACTATTTTTGTTGCATATGGCAGATATCTAGCAAAAATTTTTACTCCTCCCATCATTTCACACCTCTTCTGTAATCCCTGATTATTACAGAAGCAACAGCACTATTGCTATTTATATTGACATTGTTCATGAAAGAAGATAGCCCTGATGGATTCCTAAACTCAGTTTAGCAATGAGTTGGAATATGCAGCTCTTTCTACAATGCTGGTTCAAGGATGCTGTCATGCAGCTACTTTATAAGGCCGTTTGGCTGTTATAGGTTTGGTAATGTTTTTACAACTAAATGAACATTTAAGCATGGGGATGCCATAGGGCTCAGAGCAAAGAGAACCAGAATCACTCTGTTTTGAGTCATTCTTGCAGAAGCTAAAAAAGGAAAGCTTACGGAGGCATGCCTGAGGGTCAGAGATGACTTTGAGTGGATCCTGGTAAAAGAAATGTTTGCACTGGTCACAGTGTTGCCCCATGGTGTTGTCCTGACAGTCCTCACAAACACCACCGCTGACCCTGCCACTGGCCTGGTACATGGCCATGTCAAAATGGCATCTGTCAGAGTGGCCGTTGCAGTTACATCCTGAAATAAAAAAACAAAACAAAACAAAACAAGTGGGGTATTTCACAGCACAACTCCTGTTACTGTGGCCTTGCCACCATTGCTGTGTACCTGTCTACACAGGGTTACTTGTTGCTTGTATGATTTCAGCTCCCTGGCAAGATTATAGCTTCCCAGGCCTTGTGCTTTACAGCTGGGGGGAAACATTGGAGACTTAGGACAGAATTTGGCCCTGCACTTGCAAAAGTACCCATGCAGGTGAGTGTGCCTGATATGCAGTGGGGAACGTTGCTCCACTGAAAAAACCTCTAGTTGAATATCTGTTACAGATCCCAATATATTATGCTTGTATATCCTACATTACTTATTGTGGAAATAAATAATTTAGCCTTGTCTAAATTCTTCTTTCATTCACAAGAAAGACTATGCAAACCAATGACAGATCTTTTTTTCATTAGTTGCTTTTTCCTCTTTACTGTTTTTTTCTCTTTATGAAAAATAAGAGCATGAAACAGCTCTCCTTCTTGTAGGGTCACAAAGCACCAACAGACACAGGAATCCATCTACTTTTCTAGATAAGGCATGGAAAAGTCTCCCTCCCAGAAACCCACCCATCCCACTATGCACTGGGCTGAGATTGTGCTACACCCACCCCCCAGCTATTAAAAAGGAAAATAATATGTTTGAGTTACGTTTGCAAGCATTATCTTGAGTCCCTTCAGCTGGTCTCCAGGGAACATCATTGTAGAAGTCTTTACATCTTTCACAAGACAAACCTTCAGTGTTATGGTGGCAGATACATCTCCCATGGACCTGCAATGTGGTGAGAAGGGAGAGGGAGACGGAGAGATCTGCTTGTATGCCAGCAAGATCAGGAAAATTCAAAGCTCTTTGGCTCCCTCAGCTGACATAATTCTCAGATATTTGAGTAAAAGGACTGGAGAATACCTGCAAACTTTAACCAAATAGTTTGAAAGCTATTGAACAACATTTAGGAAAAAAATGCTTCCAGAGATATCAAAGGAGACTTCAACCTTTTAAATTCTCTTTCTCTCCCTACATGTCTCTATATAGAGATACGTATTTTCTGGGAGAAAAAACTTCTTGTTTCCAGAGGGAAAGAATTTGTAATCATGCTCCTGAATTTTTTAATAATCCATTTTTCATGGGTTAGTTTTGCATTATCAGATATTCTTTGTGTCAATGCCTCCTGCAGAGCCCCCAAGCCCAGCTGCAGTGTGGAATGCACCCAACGAGTGGCCATTCAAGTCTGCACACACCACAGGCTACTTACTGCATTACATTTGCACCATTACAGCTCTGGTATTTTGCTGCTGTTATCAACATGTCTTGTCCTAGTTGCTTTTGAAACACCACACTAGCGCCAACAAAGAGACAGCTTCTGAGCAATCTAGACCAGGGTTTTAAAGGAAGAAGCTGTATTGAAACATTTTACAACTTGGAGTTGCAAATGGCCAATCCAAAGATCACCAGAGATCTTCCTTCCTCTCCCTCCATCTCCTCCTTTCCCCAAAATACCAGGTAGGGACTGCTCTTGTTGGAGCCAGTGTGAATGACGCACCATCCCAGACTGATGGAAGACATCTCCCCGCAGATGCTGCATGGGATCACACCGGCTGGCGTGGCCATTGCAAAAGCAGCTGCCCCGCACAACCATCTCATAGACAGCATAGTAGTACTTCTCGAGGGGATCACTATGTCTTTTTCCAAGCAGAGCATCCCCAAGCGTGTGGAGTTTAGTAAAATTGATCCTTAAGTTGGTCAATGTAATGAGCTCTGGAAGGAAAGAGGAGAAATCAAGAGCCCAAGTTCAGTTGAAAATGAACAGAAAACTTCAGCTTGGATCAGCCATCTAACAATTCCCTTGTACTGAAAAAACTGTAAAAATGATCTGATATTGGCCAAGACCAGTTAATCTGTACAGTGCCAGGGCATGGACCCACTCCTGGCACACGGCTGCATAAATGTTGGCACCGTCCTTGGTACGGCACTGGCTGGAGCCAACCTGTATTTTCCCAGTCACTGCCTTTGTGGGTTCATGTCCACCTCTGGGACTGCTCCCAAAAAGCATTGTGGCTTGGGCCACCTGATCCCAGAAGGAAAGACAGTTTAGCTGCATGGATGAGCTCTGCAGAGCTGTGCCATTTGGCCTCAGCGCTAGGGAACAAGACTGGCCTGTTTATTAATACAGATGACTCCCTAAGATCTTTAGGTACCTAATTTTCAACATCACTGACTTACACCAGCTGAGCTGTTGACCTTTTCAGTGTACAAAACAAGCAACACAAGCAAAGTATCTCTGGAGAAAATCTGTACCGTCCTTACCTTGGATATATGGCACATATGGATTTTCTATGTCAAAACTGGGATCCAAAGCTTTTAAAACAACCTACAAAACAAATTAATACAGCTCTGTAGATCACTGAAGCTATTCTTTTTGGATATAAAGACTGTCACCTGAGATCCATTAGTTACTAATGCCACTTTACTGATTGCATAAAATAAAAGACAAGGCTGTGGCCCTGATTCTGCAATTGCTCTCACCCTTTCAAGCTGGCCTTGCCTGAGTGAGCCAAAATAACCTCTTTGTGGACTGATGTGTTAGGAGGAAGGAAAAGCAATGCCCTAGAGTGGTGTAGAGATGGGATGAGCACCCACCAAAGGGAACAAAGGGCAGGCCCCTGCCTTTTGTGGTAGAGGCTGTTGCGGAGACAAGATCTTTTACAAGGGGGACTTCCATGTGAATTTGGAAATCAGGAAAGAGTACTAGAAGGTCTAGTACAAGTTGTTTTATGAATTCATTTGGATGTAAAACTGAGGGTAAAATACAGTGTTTGTCTTTCCTTCTTGTTTCAGTAAAGTCAATAGCACTTAATGTCTCAGAACGTGTGTAAGTGGATCTGATGGATACAGACAAGAGACCTTCCACTCCAGAAAAATAGCCATGTATAATCTGAACTCATACAAACACAGAGACTTGGCAATACCTCGCCTTCTGTGGAGGGCTCGATGTCTGAATATCTTGAATCACAAATGATGTCTCTCACACTTTTTGCTGGACCAGAAGAGATGTTGGGAAAAGAAGCGGCACAGTCCTGTGCAAAATATCTAAATGCTTTCCAGGTCTGACCAAAGTCGGTGGAGCGCTCAACCAGCATTGCTGCAGGCCGAAATGTCTGCAAGAAATGTTATTTCAAGAATTTCTTAATCAGGCATTGATAAAACATCTCAGGGGTTGTTGCATTGTCATTCCTGTCATTCCATGCCAATGGTTGCCAGTTAATATTCTGTGTAAGCTTGTAGACTCACTACAGGGCTACAGTGCTTGTTACATGATTCTCTGAAAAAGCCAGATTCTTCATTTGAACCCCTCTCTAGCAGAAGGGAAGGGTAACATTCCATATAGATACAAGGTTACTTTCTAAGTAAGGAAGTTTACCATGACAGTGCAGGAATTTTGTAGCAAAAAAGTCTGTGACAATCCAGATCATAATAGTTATGCATGAGAAGGCTGAACTAAATTTGAAAGAGCAACTGCAGTACAGAGATGTCCTAAATTTGTAGAGCTTGCTTTTGCATTTTTTTTTTTTTTTAGCTTTAATTCTCAGATTTATAGAAAATAGGACCAGAAGGCACATGAATAGGAAGCTATTCAGTCTATCCTCCTCCCCTAAGGCAGGATCAACTGTAATTTAACTATACTTGACAGGTGTTTATCTAACCTGTTCTTACAAACCTCTAAAGATGGAGCTTTCACTGCCTCTCTAAGCAATTTATTCCTGTTGTTAAGTAATTAGTGTATAACATTACATAAAAGTTCTGGTAAGAGATGTACCTTAAAAGTCAGGATAAGATGGCTGAACTGGAATAAAGTTTCTAGGTCCAATCTAATGCTGACATGGTCAACGCCTGAAAAAAAGAATGAAAATTAAGTTAAGAGCACAATGTGCACATTGGAGGGGTTGCTGAGACAGCTTTCCCATGAGGAGTTTAAAGATGCCTTTTCCAGCACAGCAGCTAGGCTCTCTAGGGCATTCCCTGTGCACAAACCCGGCAAGTGGCTGGGTCGTTCTCTCGGGGGCAATGCGATTGTGTTGCCTTTCCAGCACTGGCACTGGCAATGCTGCATGTCACTGAGACTGCAGGAGATGGTTAAAGGTTCTGTTGAGATCATTTAGACTGTAAGTGATGGTGATGGTAAGGTTCTGTGTTTATGTCTTCCTGTATCCAGTCAGATTTTTTAAAATCCATCCAAATAGTTTGCTTATTTCTAATAAAAAAAAAAAAAAAAGAAACTCAATAAATATATGGGGTTTTCTTCATGATAAACAGATCTGTTAAACCCTTCTATGCTGCCAGACCTGAAATTTGTCGTAAGTAGAGCTATTGCACCAGGCATCTTCCAAAATTGCAACAAATATGGGAAAAAACCCCCCACAATTAACACATTCTCTGTAGAGAGCTGCAGGAGCTCAGCTCATATCCCCATTGTTCACATCTGCATGCAGCATCCCAGGGCTCCTGCTGACCAGGCTGTGCATGAGACCTCATCCCAGAAGAAAGATGAGGAGAGCAAGAAAAGGTCCCCTCACAGCTGTCTTATAGCTTTATTGGCAGTGGTGTCCAAAACTGGTGACAGTTCCTTGCTAAACTCAATTAAAAAGAAAGGCTTATGTATAAAAATTCTGGACTGAATGAATAAAAGGATAGGTGCCCAAAATTGGGGTGACATATCATCTTAATTTTTCTATGCCTTAATTTCCAACCAGTCAAATATTTTTCACATATTCAGTGTATCAGATAAGACAGAGTAAATGATATTCCTCCTAATATGCTTTCACAGAGAAGCTGTAAGTGTAGTATCTTCATCAGTGATACGAACAGTGGCATTGAGTGCACCCTCAGCAAGTTTGCAGACAACACCAAGCTGAGTGGTGCCGTTGACATGCCTGAGGGACAGGATGCCATTCAGAGGGACCTGGATAAGCTCGAGAAGTGGGCCCATGTAAAACTCATGAGGCTCAACAAGGCCAAATGCAAGGTCCTGCATATGGGTCAGGGCAACCCCTGGTACCAATACAGGTTGGGGGATGAAGGGATTGAGAGCAGTCCTGTGGAGAAGGACTTGGAGGTTCCTGGTGGATGAAAAGTTGGACATAAGCCAGCAATGTGTGCTCACAGCCCAGAGGGCCGACTGTGTCCTGGGCTGCATCAAGAGAAGTGTGACCAGCAGGTTGAAGAAGGTGATTCTCCCCCTCTCATTGGTTCTCATGAGACCCCACCTGCAGTGCTGTGTCCATCTCTGGGGCCCTCAGTATAAGAAAGACATGGACTTGTTTGAGCAGGTCCAGAAGAGGGACATGAAGATGAGCAGAAAAATGGAGCACCTCTCCTATGAGGATAGGCTGGGAGAGTTGGGGTGATTCAGCTCAGAGAAGAAAAGGCTCTGGGGACACCTTATTGCAGCCTTTCAGTACTTGAAGGGGACTTATAAGAAAGATGGGGACAGACTTTTTAGTAGGGCCTGTTACAGTAGGACAAGGGGTAATGGTTTTAAACCAAAAAAGGGAGATTCAGACTAGATATAAGGAATAAACTTTTTATGATGAGGGTGGTGAAACACTGGAACAGGTTGCCCAGAGAGGTGGCAGATGTCCCATCTCTGGAAACACCGGAGAGGTGGAAGATGTCCCTGCTCATTGTAAGGGGGTTGGAACTAGATCACCTTTAAAGGTCCCTTCCAATCCAAACTATTTTATGATTCTATGAGATCAGTGAAGAACTACTACAGAGAAGGTTGTGACAAAATTAACATGTGGCAAAAAGGGTGCTGATAGCCAGGCTTTATTTAATTATTTCCTAAATTATTAGTGCTTTACACTGATTTTTTTTTTTAATGGATATTTATGTTTTACACACTGTCATTAGGTATCTGTAGGCAAATGTACTTTTTGCCACAAATCACATTTCCCTGAAAGGCAGACAACCTGTGAAAAATACACGGCCACAGTATATAACACAGCATTGCTGCAGGTACTCTGGCCAGCTCTTGGGGATACTGTGCTTAAAATTTGTCTGTAAAAAAATAGAATTTCTGAAATCCTATACCGCTACACACAAACAGGCTTAAATCACTCAGTATTACTGAATCAAGAATAGATGCAGTTTTGCTTCATCTCTTCAAGAAGGCAACTTGGTGAATGCCAATTACATACATAAATCTCCCAGTAACATTTTGCAGTAATATTTTCTCATAGAAACTTACCATTTTCTGACTGCCACCACTTCTTTTTCCTATCAGGCTCAAAAGTTGTGATAACATTTTCAATCATGTGACTGTTGTGCTGCGTATAGGGATTATATGGGTATCTGGAATCACAGAGAAAGCACTTCTGTTCAGCCTAGAAAACAAAATGAGCAGAATAAAAGATGAATTTGGTCTCTTCTCTAAAGATCCGGTAGATGTATACATATTTATGCCATTGCAAGACTGGAACCTGTCATGTTGTTTTGGGTGCTTGTGCTTTTAATAACCCAGGCTTTCATATATAAGGGACAAGCCCAAGAAAATGCACAAAGCATGCATCTGGTAAATGTTGGCCTTGGTTTGCCCCAGGTACTCTATCAAAAATACACCTTTTCAGTTGTGGGCAAGGGATCTCAGCAAAAGAAAATAAATAAGTTCATCAAGGTGTTGATCCTGGGTTTAGCTGCCAGAGGGTTTGTTTTGCAAGAGTTTCTCAGGAGAAATTTATTTTTTTAAAGTTGAGCTTTTAGTCATGTCTCATAAGGGCTATAGAAACTTTCAGCCAGAGATGACAACAAGGAGGCAGAGGGGATACAAGGGAGCACTGGATCTTTCAAGATCTGAAGAAGCCTTGAAGAGGAGCATTCACTAAATCATTCATACATTTTTTTCCTCTCTCTTTTGCACATTTTCTAGCAGCTCAGAGACCCAGTCAGGAGCAGCAGACAGATGTTGCAGTACAAATGGAAAGCAAGGCTGGATCCAGGTACAATGTAAGTAGGTGGTCTGGGCTGACACCACCACCCTGACCACTGTCTGTGCCTTTTGTAGGCATAGAGAAACTGGAAAAGTTTAAAAACAATGCAGAGGAGGAAAATCAGGGTGTCAGTAGGATGGAAAGGTCTTGTTTGAAAATGTAACAAAGAGACAAAGGTGGCAATGATTAGCCAATATCTCAATGCCGAATGAAAGGTTTTTGTCTGCAGAAGGGCTTTGAAAGCAAGGACAAGGACCTCCTATTTAAGGTGACAAGAGAGGGATTGAGTGGGAGACATAAGGAGAGGTGACAAGGTTAACATGCGGGGCTGGGAGATGACCCGTGCTGGGCCATGTGGACAAGCCCAAGCAGCATGGGATCGCAGCCCGCAGGGCCACGGGAAAGTGTAGGGCAGCGGCTGCACCGGGGGATGCCCGGGATGAGCAGGGGCAGACGGACTCTACGAGATTTGGGCAGAGCCAGAAGTGGAAGGTGATGCCCAAGCTGTGTGCCCAGCTGGCAGGGAGAAGAGGGCATGACACAGCAGCCCAGAGGGAGCCAAACAAGGAGGCACAGATTCGGTGCCCTTGACTAGGAGGATGGCAGGGGTGCTGCTGAAAACAGAAAGGGGAAATCTGTGGTGGGAACTGGGCTGGAAACAACCCAAAGAGGATGGGTGGAGAGCACCCAGCACACTCAGGATCTATGGAGAAGTATTAGGAACGGTTTGCACATCTTTGTATTATGAAATCACCTGGGAATTATTCACATTTAAACAAAGAAAGAGGTACAGATTTACAGGTATGGTATAATGTGTTTTAAACATTACAACAAATATGTATTATATTCAGTCATTCTGTTCCACACTTGACAAGTCTATGAATGTACAATTCAGAAGATGAGACAGAAATACAAAAAATACTCTGTCACCTCATTTCACAAAGCTCTGGTAAGGAGAGCTCATGTTATTGAAGTATTTGGCAGGACTGAGCACACTCACTCTCTGGTTTATAAGGACACATATGATATGATACTCAGCCAATTTATGTTTAAGGTTGCTCCATAAAAATCTTTTTGTGCCCCAAAGGACAAGCATGTGCATGTCCACATAAGGCACATCTGGAAGATCCCATTTGCCTCTGAAGTGTGCAGCTTTGTCCTCTCCTCAAGACTGACTCCTCTTTCTTTTCCTTTCAAAACATACATAAATAATAAATCCAACCATAGGGCTAAAACACACTTAACCTACATTTAGAAACAAGACACATTAAAGACTGGAAATTATTTGAAGTGCTTCTTTTCAAACACAGAGCAGTTGAACTCTAATTTTTTTTCAATATGATTTTTCAATAAGACATCCCAACCGAGCCCTGGTTCTTGGCAGCTTGCCATGTTAACTAACATACACTTTCACAAGTAAGGTTTGCTCTCATCATGATACCCGACAAAGGTCATCAGCAGGGGAACTGAAGGAGGAAGAACTTTGCTTTGCAAGAAGCAAGGTGAAAAGCTTCCTGGCCTGCCTCCAGCAAAGCATTCAAAATGTGCTGGTGGGAAAGAGAATTGAATTGAGTGGGATTCTGACAATACTGTAGGTGACGCATTCATTTAAGGTGAGCTGGTAGAGCAGAACACGTTGCCAGAGCATAAGCCTCTATCTCCCAAGCTCTGCAAAGCAGTAGAATTTGTAGTTCTCACCCTCTTCAGAAGACAGTCACCAGGGGTCAAGATACATTGAAGCAGCATTAAATCACAAGGATTATTGCAGAACAGCTGTTCCTTTTCATGAGTCTGTATTTACATAATTCAAAGGATAAGTACAGACCAGTGAAAATATTACTTTTTTATTGCTCTTTCATCTCCTCTTAAAAAGCAAAAATAAAAGGCAATCATCCAGCTAAGGGCCAGAAAGACCATGTCTCCGAGATGGTTCTTTGTGCCTGTCTACCAAGCAGCGCCAAGACTCAGGCTATTCCAGAAGAGGAAAGAGATATTTACATTTTGCAGAAAACTGCGGTTGCAATATGTTACTTGGAGGAGTGCTTGGTGCCATCTCAGTATGGCAGAGCTTTACTCTGCAAATGTGTCACATCATTTTGCCAAAGGTCATAAACTGTAATTATTTTCAATTGCTTATAAATTAAGCTGTATTTTATTAACTTCCTCTTCAGCCTAAGCTGGTATTTAGTGAAAATATTTCTATTTGTGACAATTTATTAGCTCAGCAGGGCCAAGTGCTCCAGGGTGTGCGACAGAGGAATTCCCGTTTCTGCCTGGCGCGGTTCCTGCACACCCACTGCTCCTCCACAGCCCCCATTGCTGCAGCCTGGGAGAGGGAGGGATCCCTCTGATAACCCATGTTTTGGATCTGCCTGCCCACCTACATGGCCAAAGACTGGACTACACCATCGGGTTCTCCTTTTGCCAGAGAAAGCTTTCTGCTTTTATCAACGTCGCCCTTATTTCAGATCAAAAGACATGAGAGGACATGGTGTGAATGTCTTAACAGGCTGCCTCGGGATTCAACACTGTGTGGGACATGCCCTCCAGTGAAGGTCCATCAAGGCAGTGCCTACAGCCAGCAGGACTGCACTCCTTCTGCAATCACACACACACACAGACTCTCGTCTTCACCTCTGAGTCATGAGTGGGAAAAGGGCTCACAGAGCAAAGCTCCTTCAGAAATCCCTGTGCTCATTTGCATCTCATGAGTGTTTCTCCCTCTTGAGAAGCTACACATCACTGTGGAGGCTGTTTGCTGCCAAACCCTCCACACATGCTGCAGTAAAGCATACCCTTCCACTGGAATTTTGTCACTCTGATGATTATTCAGACAACCCCAACAGAAACTTCCCAGTCCGGGCAAATTCCTTTTACAGATGAGAATATTGTTAGTAACCAGAGTTCAGCTCTGAAAAGAAAGAGCAAACCAACCTCCAGGTAGCCTATAATGCAGTACTTCTGAGGGCTGTTCATTCCACAGGTTGATGAGGCTGTTAATTGCTTGCTGCGACCCAGGAGGAGGTCCCCAATGGCCGGGTGGCAGGACCCAGTATCACAGTCATCCTGTGCATGCTGGAGTCTTATCAGCACTGAGCACAAAAGAAGATCAGAGAGATTAAATTGTTTTGTGTACCCAGCAATATTCTCCAGACAAAATCAGTTAAATCCCAACATCAGCAGAAAAATAAATTATCCTTTGCTGGTACTCCTTTTGTCCTTACTAATATAACTTGGTAGAATCTTGAAGAGCTTTGGTAATGAACACACCTGCTGCAAAATCATTATAAAAAATATAGGTAGTATATTGCAAATCTATGTGAAAACTTAAATTCTCAGCACATTATTGCGCAGTAAACATGCCAATCTGCTATGAGCAATAATTTATTATGCTTCCTACCCTGGCATACCCATATCCAACACTCCTCTAGGAGAATCACAGGCATTTTAATCGACTCTGTGAGCAGAGCCAGATTTGGATTAATTCTGCGAATTTCTGTTTATTTCCAAGTGATAATGGTGGATCTGGGACCAGGATTGATGTCAGGGGTCTCTCAGATTTTCTGATGATTTGCAGTGAACCTCTTGGTCTGGTCCCAGAACCCCTTGTTCAGACCCCATGGAATGGTCATTAATGATTAAACAGGATAGTTCTAAATTCTCTAATCTTTTTGTTTATTTTGCCTGAAACAACTTTAAATATTTTTCCCATTATGTTAAGACTTTCCTTACAGGGCTTGTCCTTTTAAACAAGTTCTGTCCTGAAACCCTGAACAGGAATGGGTACCTTGGAGGCTTTCTCTGTTCAGCTTTACTTGGCTTAACTTGTTATAAAAACTGCAGTTAAAAAAAAAAAAAACAAACCAAAAACAATTGATACATGAAGATCTCACAGAACACTAGAAACAGTAATGCAATTATAACAGCAAAAATACAGTATTTTACAGCCAGATTGCAGTCTATGTCTCAGGCTATACTTCAGATGATGAGTGACACTTGACTCTTTAGGTATAAAGCCATATGTAAGTTTGATTAGACTGCTCTTCTTTATTTTTGCAGACCCATGCTCATTATTCATTAGCAGATGCTGACTGGCCCTTTCAGGACCGGATTCAGACTCAGTTACAACACATACCTTTTCTTTGTACTTAAATGTTTCATACCAATCATAGCTCCTAGGCAGGAGTGTGGGGACTAAGGACTCACCATCACGTGTGTCCTAATAGCGCACTTAGAAGAAGCACTCTAACAAAATTTTTGAGAGGTAAGTAAATCACATGCTAATATTTCAAAATTGGCCTGAGTAACTGTGACATCTGTACTTACTGAGGTGTAACAGGATGGCCAGCCCCAGCCTCATGCCTCCTTGTGAAACTCAAACTGGTACCGCTGCAAGAGACGAACTGGTGGGTAACTCAGTGCTCTGCCTCACCAAGGCACCCCTTGCATGTAGGCTTACCCAGAGCTACCCTTTAGTAAAGTGACAGAGCCATAATAAAAATATAAAGATTAAAAGGAAATCCTGGCTTTGATTTTGTTCCAGCGGAAATCTCTCATGATGGAAATTTTGGCACTGAAACCGGGATGAAAGCAGAGGGACACGTCACAGGGGCTTTCGGAAAGACTGTGAAAACATATTCACACTTAGTTTAAAATAAAATTAGAATGCTATCAGCAAAAATATTGTAGTATTCAAATACAAGCTATTTAATCCTAACTAGATTCAGCAGGGCTATTTGCAGAGAACTAACTCCTTCTCTGGAGGTTCCTGTTCCTTTTCATTAACTTAAAATAAAGACTGAGGACCTAATGAAATGTCACTGAGAAATACCTGATGTCAGGTGCTATGAATTTTGGCAGAGACAAGATTATAACTGCATCTTAAAGTGCAATGAACCAAAACAGGTAATGTCAGTATGAACGCAGAAGTCTCATACAGGGGAACATCAGCATGAACCCAAGGGAGGTTCATTGTAGCATTTACTTCACATCCTTCCCCATCCTACTCACCTGGAGGAAAGTAAAACTTGCCAACACAAAACCTCTGTTGGAAAAACAGAAGGCAGCCATGGGTATAAATGACAGCCTGGCATCCTGCCACCAAGTAGATCTCCCAAACCTCAGCCTGCCCTCCACCTCTGTGTCTTCCACCTTTTTCTCCATCTGTAGGCACCAGCAGGTCCAGCACGCCCCAATGCAGGTCCAGCTGCTGGGGCATCCCCGCATGAGTGTGCCCAAGGTGCCACTTCCCAGCTCCGTTCTTGTTACTTACCTTCCTACAGCTGTTGCTGTGCTGAATGAGCTAAGATGAAATACCCTCCCCAGAGTAGGGGGAACATAAGCAAAGGCATTCAAAGTATTTCAGAGGTTACAGGCTCCTCGTAGGCTTGGTTCACGCTGCCCTACACAGCACATGACACAACAGCCGTATCTAGATAGCTATTTCAGCAACCACAGGTAGGGAAAGCTATTAAGGGTCACCAACCTTTCATGCTGCTTCAGCTCTTCTCACCCACCACGACCGCAGAGAGCCTGGTGTGTGATGGGGAGATGATGCCAGCGAGCACCCGTGCAGCTGCTCCTGGCTTCCCAGCTACAGAGCGAGCAGGCAGTGGAGCCCATCTCCAAGGCAAAACCGAGCAAACATGTCCCTGCTGTGTTGGACTTCAAATTTTATACTCTATCAGAGTAAGGGACAGACTCAGAGATAACTTAAGCTGTAACAACTGAAACAGCACTGTAGTGAAATATAGGTATCCACGTAAGAGTAATCTTGGTAGGTACATGACCCAGTCCCCACCCTGCCTTACACCGTGATGTTCAATACCGATACTCTTTAAACATGACTCCTTTTAACAGAGCAAAAAGGACCGGAAAATCCCCAACATACTTTAGTTCCACACTTAGCAGGAAAATTAAATACTGAAGAGGTCTTACCTGGGTTTCAGACAGCCAAGTGTTTCAGCTGGAAATGAGCACAACCGACTGAGGGAAGCAAGCAAAGGCATACCTGTGTGCTTCAGCTGGAGAAGACAGCACATCCCCCGAGGCACCGAGGTATAGGTGAGAATAAGACCCAGCCTGCAACCTGCCAAAGGCTTGATTTGTGAACTCTTTCTGCCAGAGCTTCTGGCATCAGCAAATATGTGCAGTGAAAGAAAATTGTGACAGGTTAAGTTCATGGCAGAAAAAGTTCCTGCAGCCGAAAAGAGAAGGCTGGGATTCTTAAAATGCTGGCAAACAACTCTTTAATTGTTGTTTAATTAAGCAATTGTTCAGTTGGTCTGGTTTGCAACCAAATGTCAAAATCTTTACAGCTACTTAACATCAGAAGTCTGGTGGCACTGGTTTATCTGAACATGGGCTAGAAAGGATGACTCCTCACAGTAAGGTGCAAATGGTCTGGACGGGGTGATTTGGGGTTTTGAGGTGACTGTAAACATGCCTACATGAAACCTGGGATCACACCTCTATGGACGTATCAAACCAGCTTCTAACTAGATCAAGCTCTTGATCACTGCTGTGAGCACTACTTTTTTCAATTTAAAGCCAAAGACGACATGACAACTCTGGTCAAATGGTTTGCATTTCAGCACAAGATCTGCCTGTAACTGCCCACAGCAGCAAGCATGGGGCAGGGTGGTGTGCGGGGTACAGCGCAGTCACGGGAAATGCAACGATGGAGCACCTCTGAAATGGTGTTCGCCAGCTCATGCACAGAGGTGAAACCACTGTTTTTTGGTGCCTTTGTTGAAATCTGAGGCACTTGATTCCAATTTTAAGCATGACAGGTTGTCCCGGGTACACATTTTTAGTTGTGATATATTTATTACCAGTTCTCCCCTGAAAGCTTGTAAGGTTTAATTCATTATTGTTTGTAAAGTATCACCACATCATCAGACAGAAGATTTTCTATATGTGCAAAATATGTTTTATAAACTAATCATCGCTTTTCTTTTGGTAGTTCCTATTCTTTCAGAAAAAGAAAAGATACATGTTCTTTAATCCCATTGTAATGCTCAGGACTAAGTGTCCTCTGTCATTACTGTGATTGTTCACTCTAGCAGAAATAATTAATATACTTATATTTTTAAAAATTATTTTCCTCAAGTGCATGTGGAAATCACTTGTGGGAGACTTTTTTTCAGGCTAATTTAATCTGCATTTGGTTTGTATTCATTCATGATTAATTATTGTACAGATGGTTTATATTTAGTGGATTTCAATATTAAGAAATAAAAGACTAAATGATATATTAAGATATTTTTTATGTGCAAGCAGTATATCAAGTAAGCAGTATATCAAGTACTCTCTGAAAGAGTGACATAACTGAAGAAAGTATTATTATTATGATGCTACTAAATTATAGAATGGTTGACACTGATATTAGCATATTTGGTAGGGAATTCAGATTTTGTTTCAGGGAAGTTATGTGAGAAGTAGATATCAAGGAAGATTTATTTGCAGAATATAGCCAGTACTGTGTTTTGATTTATGTAGGACCCCAAACAAAAAGGAGGTTTTAAAATGCTTGAGGCAGGGATTAAGAAACTTCTTTCTTGCTTCTTTAATCTCTCCACTGGTAAAGGATCTGGATTTATAATGCATCATTCGTCTCATGTTGGCTGGAGGGGATATAGCACTGCTGTGTGATTTTTCAAGCCATCACAGGTCCTACAGGTGTCATTTCTTAAGCCCAAGGCATATCCATAATACACACAAAGGACAGGAACTGCTAGCACTTCAGTTTATATTCCCTTCACAGACATCAACCAGCAGTGAGGGCAGAGGGCAGGAGTAGAGGCACCAGCCACGCTTTGGAGCCCGGTCCCGGGACACCGGGCCCATACAGGTATGCATTTCCCTCTGATGGACATTCAGAATAAAAATGTCTCACTGGGTATATGGATTTTTTTCCTCTGTAACGAAAATGTGAAAAACAACAGGAAACAAAATTTCTGCTTTTCTTTAAAGTTTCAATAAGAAATAAAATATTTGAGACTGGAATTGTTCTTGCCATGTGAAAAGCAAGTATTTAATCGAAACAAATCACCTGGGCTTCCTTTAGAGTCAATGCAGAAAGGCTGGGAGCCCTGCAGGGTCCATCCTACCACCTCCTTTAAATACCTACCTTAAAGGGATAAATCACCTTTTGGAGATGGTTAAGGGCAGCCCAGTTCCCTAGCTTAGGACAGATGCCTGGATTTTAAGCAGCTAAACTGTATTGAGATGAAGACTGTCCATAAAGAACCAGCCAAAATCGTAAATGGAATCTAATGCTCCAAAAAGCAAAACCATCTTGCTACATTTCTCTCTCCTCTCTTTTGTTTCTGCTCTCATTTTTTCAGGCGTATGCTCAAAGCATCATTTCTCAAAGACCATGCATTTTCTACAACATAAGGAGAATGTAGGACTGAATAATAAAACCAGAGTGAAGTATAAACTTACAATAAAATAAGAGAAGGGTTTTATCCGACAGATCTGATCAGGAGAGAGCTAAGGACAGCAGAACAATACGCTGCGAAGCTCAGGGGCAAGGGGAGAGGGAGGTCACCCCATCTCCAAGCCTCTTTGCCTTCATGTCCCACCAGCTGTTTGCTCCTCTATATTGTTTTAAAATATCAGTGTGATTTTCAAAGTGCTATTCAAGATATCTGTATTCAAGATATAACGTTTCATGCCATTTCCTAAGGTCCTGACATTTCCAAGCTGGCAGTGCAATGGGCAGATGAGAAGTCCAGCACATACCTTGTTGCAATCTCATGTTAATTTATTCAGAATCAGTGAGTTCATGTAGCACAACTGGACAAGGCTGTTTCTAGGATCCTCCTCACATCAACAAATAAAAGGGCTTGAAATTTTCACTTTTCATCACTTATTGGCCTATTAATCAGAAATAATTATTCTCCCTAAATTCAAAAGAAAAATGGATTACTGTGCATGAAAACACAGCAGAGGTGACTAATATGCAAAAAGAAAAGGAATATGCTCAGAAGAAGACACATGAGGAAAAGGAAGCAAAAGAGCTTTTCCAAATTCCACAACATACTGCAGCTTGGTCTGCAGGGCTGCCTCTGGACCCTCTCTTCTTCCCTCCCAGCTGGACCTCCTGGATGAACCTCAAGCCTGCTTCACCCTTTATCGAGCCTGTGGGTATCGATGAACCCTGTTACCAGCACGCAGCTCTGGCCACCGTATCCAGACACCGTGGGACTACACCCATCGGTGACACACGGCATGGGATCAGAGACATAGTAGTATTGATGCCAGGGATGTGGAGAAAGGCTGAAGAGAGTTCCATCAGCGGAGGGTGGTTAGATCAGCACAGCCATATGGTGAAGCTGCACTCCTAGGAGCCCTGGATGCCCTCCCAAAGGGGCCTGTCCCCCTACCACAGACCCTGTGAATAATCTTTCCCTCCTTGTGGCAGTAACCATGGTTCCTCAGGGCTTAAAATAAGGCTCTGCTTTTTGTTTTGTACATTTTTAGGATAGCTACAGTGAGCTATTAGCTGTATTTCTCTAGGGAAGATTTATTATACCTCAGTAATAAACTGCAAAACCCCATGGAACTGGCATTCCCCTGATGAAGGCTGCCCTCCAGGTGGGAATGCAAAGTGAGATCCAGCCTGGGGAGCCACAAATAACTCTCCCTTCGCGTGCCCCACTCTTTTCCTCCTCTTTTCTTGCACACAGAAATGTTTCCACACTTGTCTGGAGAACCTCTGTTGGCTCTGCTATGGATTTTGAGACACCAACAAAGATTCAGACTGGAGAAGTGCTTCACCCTGGAGTATTTGCTCCTACGGGTTGTTGTCACCCATGTCTGCCTGGGACATTCTGTTGTGTCCCCACTGACCTTCCACAGTGGAACTAAGTGGAAGTTCACCAAGGAAAGCAGATTTACCCTCCCAAGCACATCCTCTGCTTTCATGGCTTTATTCAGCCTCATTAAGCCCACATACAAGTTTCCTCCACAATTATGAGGACAAAAACTGCATTTTGAGGCTTTAACGGAAGTGCTGTAGGCTATATACATGAACTCCACAACTGTAGGAATTAACCGTGCACATTTCTTCTTCTAAAACAGGGTCTCCACTAAAAAGAGAGACTTGTATTGGACTCTCAAGAGTTAAGAGAATCTATATTTATAATAATTACTTTATAAGGAATAATCTAAAGTCTCTGCAAATAAGATAACTGGAAAAGATTTTTTTAAAAGCTAGTATTTGCTTTGCATGTCTCACTATTTTAGCTACATGGAAAGGTTTGCCTCTCAGAGAACTGGTGCTCGTTTCAAGCCATTCAAGGCAAGGTGCTTCACATTCGTCACAAACCCCACTATTTTTAAAGACAATTTGACTAAAGATTTTTTGGGAAAAATATTTGCTCAGTTACTTTTTCAAGAAAACAAGAACTTCAAAGTACACACAACACTGGGGCTAGAAGGTACGGTCCTTCCAACTCTGCCAACAAATTGACCCAGAAAGCGGACTCAAGAAGCACAAAGAGCAGTTGTTGAATTAGATTTACCTATGTGCTTTTAAAGAGTCTATCATACTTTGTTTTAAAATACCAAGCCATATTTTGACAAGCAAATAAAGATCAAAGAAACCCCGTATTAAACTAGGGATTAAAATTCTACAATAGCTCTAAAGTACAATTTGTATGAGGACAATGTACGCAGAGCTAGGATGGTGGCAACAGGTTTTCACATGACAGTCATTGCCGTACAACATAAAATAATGAAACTTCTTAGTGGAAAACCTTTCCCACCACAGTATCTGTTAATAGGGCGTAATGGTGCTCTTATTCATCTCATGGTCTCTTTGCTGTTGAAAGTGCTAAGAAAAGATTGTCTTATTTTTGTTCACCTAAATTTGTGGTAATGTTCTGCTTTAAATCCCTCATATTAGATTTTTCATACCTGTCAGCCTAAATTATCAAGTATTTTTCTCTAGGTTAAAGTAAATTCTTCTGCAAAGATTAAATTGATGTTCAGAAATTACTCTGAGTTCAGAAAATCTCTCTGGCCCCTGAAGAACCTTTGTGACCTACTGGCTTAGAATAGTTTTGTTACCAATGCAGAAACCTTTCATATTGTAGTCTGTCTGGGAACCGAGGTGTATGTTTGGGTTTTTTTTTGAGAGGGGGAATAAACAAAAATCAGAACCCAGGAGACCACAATTTAAAGAACAAAGAGAAAACAGTCAATTCCACAAGCTCCCAAAAAACCCTAGGAAATGGAGAGCACTGGGAGGAGAACCTGACAGACAGAAGGATGACAGCTTCAGTTTGAGGGGAAAAAACAATGGAGAGAAGAACGTGTGCAATGGAGGACAGTGATGAGGCAGCAGCAGCGAGAGCATCCACTGCAGAGCCACCAAAGCCCAGTGGTTAGAGCTCCCCTGGGAGCCACCGGCTCTGGTCCTCTGCTTGGAAGCAGAAGGTGAAATCAGCTCTTCCACCGTCCTGGGGAACATCCAAACTACTGGTCTCTGAAATGAAAGAAGTATGCCCTCATAGTTTCTCCTTATTTTTCACAAGAACAGCAAATTTAAATATTATGTTTTAGATTGACCTGAAATAAAATAATTTTGGTTCATTTAGTTAATTTTGGTTAGTAAAAGTGAGATGGACTGTTCTTTCTCATTACTTTGTTGGCTGAAAGAAATGGTTTCTTCCTCGTACAATTGGAAAACAAAACTAGCAGAAAATCACTAGAAATCTGAAAAGGTACATTTAGACTGAAAGGAATAAAGCTTCAGGAAGCTGCAGAAATAGAAAGGTCTGCATAGTGAAATAACTGGGAAACCTGATGTTTTCCATCTGTAGTCACCAATACCTGTGATACGTGCGGTGTCTGGCTGTGCACCACAACAGCACTCTCACACGGCCCGTCTCCTGTGGTCACTCACAAGGTCCTGGGTTGCAGAAGACAGCAAGTGAAGAGCAGACAGGTGTTAGACAAACCAGAGCTCAGTCACACACACATACACACAGCTACACACACCTTCTTTTGCCTAACTTGGCAATATAAACAGCTAAACTGATGTTTTGGAGATTCTCCATTCTCAGTCCCAGATGAAATTTAATAAAAAGGCTTCTGTGGAGTATTTAAATCTATCAACGTATACACGTTAATTACCTAGAATTATGACAGAATGATGGCTGGCTGACTATCAGATGTTTAATTTTATCCGTGTCCATTCTGTAACATCTGGAATCTGTACAAACACAGGAAGCAGCACGCATAAGTCATG